TAGTCATAATCATCCCCACTGACAGGCAGAATCAATCATGGAGTAGGGTTGTCTGACTGGAATTTAAATAGATTTAATCTGGATGTTAATGATCTATATATTAATCTTTGAAAAATATCAAGATTGAAAGTTTTCATCCAGTCCTTAACCCTTTAATTGGAAGAGAAACCCTTTTGACACATTGCACAGTATTGCAGTATGAAGTATTTTTCATGGCTTAAGAGCTGCTTTCTTAAAATCTAATGTGGGTGACATACTGCGAGTCTGGCTGAGATTGGTTTTGGCTCCGTTTTCAAGCAGGACGATTGTGACTGGTTTAAAGAAAAATCTTTCTCCAGTGCTCGTACAGCGCTAAAAGAAATCTGTGGAGATCTGGCTATGCAGGAATAGTTTATCTGCAGCAACATGATATATATATATATATATATATATATATACATGGTCAGATGTTCTTCTGAACACCAACCAAATCACCTTCTGATGAAAAACCCAAACATGGCCAAGCAAACCCAACTAACAACCAACTAAGACACAAACAACCAATCTATTATTGATCTGACCAAAAACGTACAGAATCACAGAGATGCGGATTTACGCAGGACCAATATTATCAGTGGTGGAATATTTACTTTACAAAAAGGCAAATTCACACGGGAATGAAATCACAGACAAACTCCACATTTTTTTTTTTACAAATTACTAGAGGTTCCCAGGTAATACTACTCCAGATAAGGCTAAAAGTAAACATCTGAAATTGATTGTATAAACATGGGTCTAAGTCATCATGCATCAGCCTGGCATCTGCCATCCTGTTTTCCTTCAGAAAACCAAAGCTGAATATGAAGAAAAGCCAATTTACAAAAAAGATGAGAGCTGACACTGAGGTTGAAAATTTGACATTTAGTTGACCCACAGCAGCTTTCTATGCTTTCACTGCTCTCAGCAATATGTTTTATTTTTAATTTTTTTTTAATCCTTGATGCTTGCCCCCGGGCAAGACAAGAACATCTTGTGATCAATCATGGTATTACATAATGATGTTAGAGGTTATACTACGGCAGTCACATATAGAAGAAGCTGGTATCTCATCTGAAGGAGTCATTAATATGGCTGTCTGCAGTTTAAGCACCATCCTTATACAAGTGTAGCAATGCATCAGTGTGCATGTGAAACATACGGTGTAGCTTAATGTTCTGCTGGGGAGAACAAGATGTAGTGGACGTTTGTGAGCATGTAAACATGTTAACGCACTGAGTTACAATAAGGTCTATGCGAACTTTTGTGAAAGGCAATTATTTTTTGTGTATTTTGTGATTTGGGCTGCAAACGGCAAAACGCTGCAAACACGGGATTGATGCAAAACCAAAAACACACAAACACATAAAAACAAATGCCACAGAAAAATGCTGCAATCACAGAAACGAAGCAGAAGCAAAAACTTACAAACCCACAAAACAAATGCCAAAGAAAAATGCTGCAAATACCAAAAACACACAAAACAACTGCAAGAGAGAAACGCTGCAAATTCGCTCCACAATACGGGAGTGTACCAGGCCACTAGGGGGACCCAACCTGAGGGATGGACCAGTCCTGTGGGACCAGACCCGAAAGACATGAAGAAGAAGAAGAAGAAGAAGAAGAAGAAGAAAGTTGGCTAAGTTTTGGAGAGGAGAGCAAAAAGGAACGTTTTCCTTTATGTGTTTTTTAAACACTTGGCCTTAATCTTGAGTAATATTATAATATTATAATTATATTATAATAATATTATTATAATATTATTATAATAATATTATAGAAGAATATTATAATAATTCTTCTATTAAATAATTATGATAATATTCTTCTATAATATTATTATAATATAATTATAATATTATAAAAGAATACGGCCAAGTGTTTAAAAAAGACATAAAAGAAACAAACTTTTCCTTTCCCAACTTTCTTCTTCTTCATCTTCATCTTCATCTTCTTCTTCTTCATGTCTTTTGGGTCTGGTCCCACAGGACTGGTCCATCCTTCAGGTCGGGTCCCCCTAGTGGCCTGGCGCACTTCTGTTTTATGGAGTGAGCGTGTTTTTGGTATTTGCAGCATTTTTCTTTGGCATTTGTTTTGTGGGTTTGTAAGTTTTTGCTTCTGCTTCGTTTCCGTGATTGCAGCATTATTCTGTTGCTGCGTTTTTCTGTTGCATTGGTTTTATGTGTTTGTGTGTTTTTGGTTTTGCATCATTCCCATGTTTGCAGCGTTTTGCCGTTTGCGGTCCTTTTGTCCGTTTGCGGCGCATCTGCCCTTGTCGGCCACCGTAAATATGCACCACAAAGCACACATATTGTTATTCACATACCCAATAAGGTATTTCTTAGATTGTCATAGTAAGATCATCTTTATTCAGTGTGTTCACGATTGTAAAAACAAATTAGCAAAAGAAGAAACAACGATATAAAAATCTGTATCTACACTATATGTTCTTTCTTCGCACTGCTATCCGCTTGTACTGTCTTTGTTTGACTGTTTATCTAACATAAAGATTAAGAGGTAGTTTCTCTTTACATTCTTATTGCCAGCTTTATTGCGCCAAATTCAGTCTGCTTTGTTATTTTAGAGATGTGTACCTGAATGTATTTGTGAAATCATTGTTTTCGTCAGTGTGCAGTTTCTTGCCAAATCCTGCAAGTACAATATCCACAGGTGTTATGAAACAAGCATTATATTATTATACGGCGACTAGTGTCTCGTAAGTGACTGAATCACTGGACAGCAGCGCTCAATGAGGTGAGCACTATCTCCAGCATTCAGTATGGCACAGTACAGGAGCACAGAGGAGAATAAAGTGAAAATAAAGACCCGCTTATTTGAAAAACACAGTATGAAATGTATAGCTTTTTTTTTCAATAAAATGGAAATTCCTCTAAATAAAAATCCCTTTTTTTTTTTCAGTGAAGCATAACAAAGCACAGGAAGTGAGTCAACAGAAGCAAAACATATATATATATATGTTTATACAAAAAAGATAATGTCTTAGGATGAAAAAACGGTAGGGGTTAAAATGGTACCTGTATTGGTGTATTGATGGAGAGGGTGGAAAAACTGTTTGTGAAGACAGAAGGTAACAAGGGAACTGATAATAAAAAAGGGAGAAAAGGGAAAATTAAATGAACAAGGATGGGAAGGATGCAGATAATATTAGAATTCCTTCAACCACAATCTGTATGTAAAATGGATGACTCAAGATTGGCTGTCAAGAGACCAACATTAAGACATCAACACAAGCTAAAAATGAGAACAATCTACAGTGTTTAATGTAATATCTGTAGCAATGGCGTTAAGTTGAGTGTCCCGTACTGTAAATGAGTACGTACAGTATCTGAGTCTGTACAGAAAAGCCCAGAATTAATCCCCAGTAGCCTATATGTGTGTTAACCTTCAGTGGCTCAATTCATCACAGCAGCTCAAACAATATGAAGTGCCTTCATAACACCATTCAACTGTTTTTGGAGAGCAGTGGAGCAGTGGAGCTACATCAGAATTTGGCCTCGCAGGCAATACTTGTTAAGATCGTTTCTCTGGGATTTGTTGACAAGAAAAAGATAATAAGCTAATTTTAAGCATTTATTGAGTACTGGTCTACGGAGATAAGATCAACACTATTGAGTTACCTCTTCTTATCTTATACGTCCAGGATATGAGATGTAGGTGTAAAGGTCAATGCATATAATTACTTATTCATTCGATAGATACTAGATACAACATATAGCAACACTGAGAAGCCCGACTTGACTGCATAAAGGCAGCAAATCTTTTCTTTGTGTGACAATCAGTAAAATTCAGTCAGGTGTTTAAATAAAATATGAAAACGTGGATCTTGGCTCCCATGTTTGAGACTTCCTTGCACAAGGGTTAATTCACATGAGATATATGACTTTTAGCCAAAACGTTCAGCTAGTAAAGCAAACCACATCATGTTGTTTTGTTTTGAAAAGGAGCCTGTGAAAGGTCATATACAGTAAGATACAAATCGGACTGCAATCCCTGCTCAGTGGAGGATTTTGCATTCGGCTGGAAAAAGGTTGGAATACAAAGTAGAGCTAGACCGATAAATCGTTCAGGCTGATATTGCAGATATACCAACGGTTGATATATGTTGACCGCTAGGTAACAAGAAATTGCAGTGTCACAATAACATAATGTATCCACTAGAGAGCACTTTTAGTCTTAAAATGTCACAAAACAAAAATGATCAAAGGTATCCATATCAAGAGTGTTGGTTGTTGTTGTGCATGTGTGTTTTGTGTCCAGCTCAGCTGTCACCTATTCATAAATGTACCAGAACTAATCATCTAATATATCAGTTTAAATGCTGCTCTGTTCTTTTTACCTATTGTACTCTTCCAGCAAAGAATCAGCTATCAGAAATCACATTGTTTACCGCAAATAAGCAGTTACAACTTTATGGTGTGTGAAATCACCTCATTAAAGTCATTGAACAGATGTTGTAAAGAGGGACTGCCAAACTGAAAACAACATTAACTATCCATCAGTCCTCACATTCACTGATGTAGTGCAGCACGCAGTAAACGGCCACAGACTCCTTTGATATCTCGGGTTAGATCCATTGTGGGTAATGCTGTAAAAAAAACTGCACTTTGTTCATTTTATGTATAGTTCTTCTAAATGGAGTTTCTAGAAAATGTACACGATATACAATGCTATCGTTATATAAATAACCTGGCTTGTTTTTGGCTACTAAACTCAGCTCACACATCAAAAGCTGTCTTTTACTGATCGGGTATAGGTTCTAAAATATTTGTAAATCATATATAATATATACAGTTATAAATAAATTGTATATAATTCCTAAAGTAGCCTGTATATAATAATAATATATATAAAAGATTTTCGTAGGGTAGTAATGATACTCTCGGACACACACCACAATTACTTTCTCACACCTATCAGTTGAAACAGTGATTTTTGCTCAACATCTGGAAATAAAGAAAACTTACCAAAGCAGGAATTGATGAAGCCGTACCAGCTGCAGCCGCTGCGCCCCAGCAGCCACTTCCCCCGAATACTGGAAGCGAAACTGAGAGTGGTGCCGAACAAACACACAAGCATGTCACTGACACTGATGTTCAACAGCATCATGTTCACCGGCGTTCGCAGCTTTTTGAATTTGCAAAACAAAAGCAGCACAACGAAGTTGTTCAGGAAGCCAAAAGTCATGATGAAGCCCAGCACCACGGACAGCACGACGAAGCCCGTCGGGGAGAGCTTCCCCCTGCCCGCCGGTGTGTCCATCAGCTCCCGGTCATCGCTCAGGTTGAAGCTGTAATTCAGACCAGCCTGACCAGAAAACATCCTGCTGTCCATTCATCTGAGCTTGTCTTCACTCTCGAACCGTTTTTGGTAGTTAGGGCTGATCACTTTGCTCACCTGGAAAGTTTATGAATAGCGGATTTCTGCTTGAGTCTTTCTCCATGCTGTTTTTCCTTTGGGACAAAAGTGCGCTTTATGTTTTGAAAGCGGACATTCCTGCAGTGATTTTGAGAGCATGTAGCCGCTAACCCGTTCCTGGAAAACTGACACAAAGGCTTAAAAAATACACTGTAACCATAAAGTGCCACCTGTTATCTCAACGCATCCTTATCTCCGTCTTCAGCTCCAGCTTCTTTTGACGCCTTAATATTATGAGAAAGCTGGCATTATTCATCACAGTGTACACAACTCAACCTTTACCTAACTGTTTTTTTCAATATTGTTTTAAGGGAAAGTCTGTCATCTCCAAGTCATCACCTTTAAGATCAATTGTAATCCGCGCTCACTCCCGCTGGACGAACAGTGTTGCGTAAAGTGCGCTCTGCTCCTCCATCCAGCATCTTTTAAAGGCGACTCTTACGTCACAAGACATTTGGATGGGGGCCACGGGGGAGGGGTGTGTGTGTGTGTGTGTGTGTGTGTGTGTGTGTGTGTGTGTGTGTGTGTGTGTGTGTGTGTCTCCTTTAAGTCTACCTTTGTATACATTGATTTACTTTTCTGACTGCACAGTAGTTATAGATATGCTGCATGTGCATTACAGATCTGCTGTTGAAAGGGTCATCATACAACACAACAATCTAGACTGTCTGCAACCCTGCAATTACTGAGCAATTATCGTGAAGTTATTTGTATATTACATTTAATCACCTGCACAAAATAAAATCCAATTTCAGAAAATGTATCTGTCACTTGGGTATTTACGTGTAGTGTATGTCTTATTGAGCAATGGCTAATCCTCCTTTTTTTTTCATATCATGCACAGCTTTGGAAACTAAATATTTTTTTTAAATAGTAAAGGAACCAATTTGACTTCACACATTATCAAGGACATGAACTGCATGTTTCTCTTAACAAATTTAAGTTATTCTCTCTTCTCTTTCCAAACAGGAACCGAACAGGATTCTCACTCACAGAGTGTTCTTTGTTCTCACAAAGACACAAGGTTCTCACTCTATGCTGATAGTGAAAGCAAGAGCAAAGCAGCCTTCTACATATATTACATACATTACATATACTACATACTTAGATACATCATACATATTTTAGATTTGACTGGTGTGTTTGCTGCAGACAGAAGTGAAGCCTGTATTGAAAATGGTCTGTTTAGCTTTAATTTCTCTATATATGTGTAGGTGTGTATACATACTGTGTGTATATACCGTACATATATTTATATATAGGCTACACATACACACACACCTCTATACTGCCACTGTGTGTTTGTCTATCTGTTTATTCTTTGTGTTTCTTTGCTCAGTCTCTCTGTTTTTAATACCAACAGTGTTTACTTCACCTGCTGCCTCTTACATCTGTTGTCTTTCTCTTTATTACTTCTGCCACTGTGTGTAGGTACACCGAAAGCCCCTGAAAACCGGAATCAAATTCCTTATATGTGTAAACTTACTTTGTTTTTATACTTGATTCACTTAATACCTATGATTTTGTTCATGCATTATAGTGCACACTAAAAAATGTCTCCAAAAAGTGCCATGACACAACATGGTTAGTGCAAGCAGGGTAACAGGAATACAGGGGACAGGACCCAAATGTAGACAACTGAGGCAGAGCAGATGCAGTTAAGTGGTTTTAATAACAAAAGGAGGTACGGCACAAAAAGCTTACAGGATGGTGAGGCAGGCAAGGGGAAAACCAGGAATGCAGTGCAACACAGGCAAATAAATCAAAGGGGGCAGGCAGAAAATCCAAAGTCAAAACAATAAAAAGCAAGGTCCAAAACAAGCAATAGATAGAAAGCAGCTCTTAATAGATTAATAGATCTCAGATGATCAGACTACAGAAACAGGCTAGAGCCAAGACATGAAGCAGAACATAACTAAACAATATGGGACGGAACAAAGGAAGTGAACTGGTATATGTAGTGAAGGTACTGATGGGGTGGATTAGATGGGGAAGCTGAAATGAGGGTCTGATAAGAAGTGGGAACAGGTGTGTGGTTGGGTAATCAGGTGACGAGGAAAAGAGGGAAAGTCCGAGGACATCTGATAAACAGCTACAGGATGGCAGGTCCGAGGAGTATGGGGAAGTACGTGGCTTGGGCGAAGGGAGGAGGGGATGGAGAGAGGGGCTGAGAGCAATGTGGTTGAAAAGGGGAACTGAGGAGCAGATTGTGACACTTTGATGGATAAGTGGGCAATCAGACTGGAAACAGCCCTGTGTTAAAAAAACAAACACAAGGGGCTGCGTTGGCAATACACTTAAATGGTGAGAGGATGCACAGTTTGTGTCATACAGAATACATTTAGTCATACATTCAATGCAGAAAACACAACGAAAATAAAGAAACTGCAAATACAGGAAACAAAATATACAATACAGAAATGCTGTTATGTTTTCTCACTTATCACTCTAACCCAAGTTGCAGTGCATACCATAGTATGGTGCAGTAAATAGTAAAAACAAATTTTTCCTGTTTCTTTATTTCAGTTTCAGGGGTTCAGTTGTTAGTAGGAAGTTCTTATCATTGCCAAACGGGTCAGTATGGGTCAGAGATGAATAACTCGTAAGATAATCAAAAGAAAGACCTTCCCTTACTTTTGTTACTTTCTGAAAGGAACAATCTGACAAGCACAAATGTCTCCCTTAAGCTCTTTTTTCATTCTTCACAAGACTAATTCTGTCACATTTTGTGTGTACAAATGAGTGCCACACCTTGAAAACCTTTGAGGGGAGACTGTCCAAAAGTATGAGCTGTTAGGCCAATCTGAAGGATTCACTGTGTGCCATTCAAAACACTTTTGGCTTCAGACATGTTTTTACAACACCATATTTCCACTTATGCACTGAGGGGCATCGTGGAATTTCTCATACTATAAGGGCAACAAAAATATGTTGGTTGGGTCATCGTGTGGAATCTGTTGTTGTCTACAGACACACAACAACACTTGTGCCCATTTATAAGAGCACTTCATTTTTCATTCCACTCAGGTCAATAGTATACCAGCGGTCACATTTACACATGGTGACCATTCTAAATAAATAAAGCTCTGTGCAATGAACGCCATCATGACCTGAACTTTATTAAAGAAATATTGTTGAGAAATGTGCGGGCTGCTGATAGCTCTGTTTTCTTTAAAGTCCAGCTATCTTAAAGTAGGAATACAATGTGTGAGGCTCACTATTTCCCCTTTGTTAAAAATAATTCAAAACAACGATGTAAGGCAATTTAATGCAGGGACTAAAATAGCTTTAACTGAGAGTATCACTTTCCTTAACAGTCACCATCTTTTGATTGTATTTTAAAGGGCTTTAAATGTGCAATTTAAATACATTGCAATGAAAACTTGAAGCTAAGCAAAACATGCAATGAAACTCTGAGCTCACTGAGCCTGAAGCATTTAGTAAAATATGATGACATGAGCTTTTCATTCAATGAATGAATGAATGAATGAATTACACTCAAGAAGTGATAATTTGTAGATAACAACAGGAGGAAAAGTGTTATTGGGTTCCTGTTTTTACTTTATTCTAATAAAACATTCTCGCAAATTTTGGTGAAGTAAAGATGTTCCAAATGGTACTCTCTAAAAACAGCTGGGTTATGAAATGTTTTACCCATTATGGGTTATTTATATGGAATTTGGGTTATTTTGTGCAACTCGTGCTGAGTCAAAATCCATCAACCCAACATACATCGGTTGACTCAGCACCTGGGTTGTTTGTGCTTCGAACGTCATCACATCATCACCTTCAGTCCACCAGAGTCCACCAGAGTCCACACACTGAGCGCTCATCACATCACTGAACCTGACGGGTCATCACCAAGTTCATAATGCCCATGGGCATATGGTCATGTTTATTGAGTTCGCCAGGCTAATTTGCCAGCTAGTTTGCTAGCTAGCCAGGTGATTCGCCAGTTAACTAACGTTAACGTTAGTTTACTAGCCAACAGGCTGTCAGTTAGTTGCTTTGCTAGCCGGTGTTTCCGTGTTAACTGGTGACTTTCACGTAGGCCAAAAAGTACTTTATAGTTTAATAATTTTTCATCTGTCTTTAATATCTAAGTATCTAACCATTTATGTAAGTTCAGTTGTGTTCAGAAGACGTATTAACCTCTCGTAACGTATCTTAAAATGTGAGAAAGTCACCCGTTAACACGGTTAAACCGAAACACCAGCTATAAATGAACACGCTTGTTTTTCCTGAAGCTTTTAATGTGAAATGTGAAGGCATAACATAGTGTTTGACTGATTAAAGTACGTGAAAACAGTGAGATAACCTGATATGTCTGACTAAATGCATTTATGTGCATTTATTTAAGTAATGTGGTGACCCGCAATAGACACTGTGAGAGGTTAACGCTTACTAGTTTCAGTTGACAGTTGGTTGACTGTTAGTTTCAGTTGACAGTTGGTTGACTGTTAGTTTCAGTTAGAGTGCAGTTGTTTAGGTTCAATTACCTGACTCCACAGTAAGCTCTTTAAAATGTTTTCAATATAAAACCAAGTAGTGATTTACCAAGTCTATGCTATATCTTCTCGAAATGGTGGGTTCATCTGTTGTAGATACTAATATCATTTTTATTTTTTATTTTATTTCACCTTTATATAAGAACAAGTTCTTATTTAAAATGGCGGCCTGGCAAACGACAAGGGCCACTTGAGTGAAGGGAGTTGGGCTATGAGATTAAAACTAAATAATAAAAAATATACAACAATGACAACAAACACAGGCACAAAAAAACAGACAGGCAGATAAACAACAGTCAATAAAAGCAAAATCGAGGGGAAAAAACGTATGAATTATTACATGGTGGACTATGATGTTAAAATGGCAGTAAAAATTGTAATTTTTGCTCAAATCTCAAATCTTATAGATAAGACCTGAAATGAATTGGGTTGCAATGGTTTTTACGTTTTTAAAAAAGCTGGTCCCCTTGAATAAAAGTTTGGGAACCACTGCTGTAGACTGTTATACTGAAAGTCGTGCCGTGAAGGCTATGCTGTGAGCAGCCACAAATATTCTTGTGAAGTAAAAACATAGACAATTTACATGTATGCAATTTATCATATGAATTATATAGGGAGAGAGGGAGGATTGTTTTCTCTATATTTTGTGATGCTGTTATCTTCACATTGGATTACATTCTGCTGCTAGTCTGCATTGCTTTTAGCATGGTGATATCTGAATAGTTAATACAATAGCAATTATATTTTTGCTTAAGCTCTTTTTGTGTTTGTATCAGATCAATGGACAGCTTTGTCATTAACACTTTGACAGAGTGGCAGCTGACAGACCTTGTCGAAAGATTTAAAGGTAAGAAATATTATTTTTTCCCATCCACAGCATATCAAGTCTGCATTGCTACTCAAGCCTTTTTCAGACATGAACAACGGACAATTTCAGTTTAATCAGCCACGGACATCACCCGTTTATACTCTTTCACACATGTAGCACACATCCGCACATTGTCTGTGATAGAAGTGTTCACACTCACTGGAAATATATTGTTTAATTCAGGCATGTGGCGTCAGCTGGGTGGAGCGGGTTAGGGTCAGGGCATGTCGCAGAAAGTATGCAGCGGACATGAGTCCCTGTGCTGTGTAACCTGCTGTGTTCACAAATGTGTTCTACATGGTCATGATACTTGGGAGCCTGCAGGTAAATGTCAGATACAGGTCCCGGCCGTTTGATACGCACATTTTCGTTCACACATACTGCCCTAACGGCGATGTCCGCAAATTGTAGTATTCAGTATTCAGTGCATGTGTTAAAGGGGCTATAGTGATAATTTGGACAGTCGTGGCGTTGACTGCATTCCTTTTTTGTATAAATTCTTATGAAATATAATTTTCTCTTTTTTTCAATAGCTTCCATGTAATGTGTCAAAGTGACTCCAATAGGTGAATAGGGCACATGTCTTTTGTAGGCTTTCAGTGCTTCATTCTATTTTGTAATATATATTACATGTTATATGCATATGCATGTTTATTACTATAGCTTCCATTTAATTACCCATACATTTTTGTTTTGTGCTCCTCTGTTGTAAAAACAAAGATGTCTTTGTGTTTTCTATTTTTGTCTTTCAGAGGAGGGGATTGATGAGGAGAGTTTTCTTCTTTTAGATGAGGCTACGATCAACCAGTGGATCCCAAGAGCTGGCCCTAGGTTGAAGTTCTTTAAAAAATTTAGGGGACTTGTAAGTAGTTAAGATCAATGAAGACATGAGAGGCTCAATTCTTCAGTTTTCTACACACTGTTATTATTTCTGAGTATTTAATAGTTTTCCTGTGTGGAACTGTGTTGTGCCACAATACAGAAGTTGGTCCAGGGTACACTACATTTCTGGCCAACATTGAGGGATTTAAAGAGATCCAAAGTGGCCTAGAAGGTATTCTCCTTTTAAGTGAATTGTATGTGCCTGCCTGGGTTACATTTAAGGGAACTGAATATAGAGCAGGCATGACCGTATTCCTGTCCTATGATCCATATGGAGAGCCTCAGTTTGGTGTCATACAATCAGTTTTACTACTGGAGCAAACATCACATACACCAACAATAAAACTTGTTGTAAAGAAGTGGAAAACACAGTGGTTTGATAGGCGTTTATTTGCATACAGTGTGATTCCCACTCAAGTTTTAGCAGCTGTAGATGTGAGAGAGCTGCATGATCACCATCCCATCCATGCAGTCAAGTCGCACGGAGAGGATGATGACAGTTTATACATTTCCCTGCGCTATAGACTTTTTTAGATAATCCGCCGACTGCCACCAGGCGTGTGTGTGTGTGTATGTATGACACTTGTAAATAGTGTTTTGACAGGTTTATAGATGTTGAAAAGGCCTAGCTTGACATTATCCCCCAAATTAGTTTAGTTTTCAGCCATACATGCTGCGTAAAATGTCCATTGCTTGAGGATGATCAGTATTTGACTAATGGGATGGGAAGAACTACTGGACTTCTGGGATGGGATGACGTGACCGAACTACTGGGATGTTCTTGAAATGACTACTGGGATGTTATAAGTTGTACTGTAAGTATTTTTTGGTTTAATTACTTGTCTATCTGCTCCATATACAGTCGTAGTCACTGCCACAGTTATGTTTCAGAAGTCACTTGACACCTGCATGGTCCAAGAAAGCAAACGTGTCACCTTTTACACCAAAAAACAGGGCACTTGAGTGAAGAATTTCTGAGCTGTTTTGTGTCTGAAACCATGTGCCCTGTTTTTAGGTTTGTATTGTAACAAATGGCGGAGAGTGCATCCCACTGGTCTCGAACCCGGGTCCCCAAGCCTGCTTCCTAACCACAACACCAAGAGGGGCAGCTCCGCTTGGCAGAGCTGTTAGTTAGCCTCATATACCGCCCAGAGTTCGCTACAGTATAAATCCTTAGGCAGTGAGAATGCCAGCCAGTACACATCTGTCACACCATGCAGGAGTTTACATTACTGATGCTTAGCAAGCTATTCTAGTTGGCTGCCACTGTTTATTATATTAACCTGGATTTTCTGCATAGGTTGAACCTGCTGTTGGGCCTGCTATCCCACCTACAATCTCTGATGTCACACCAACTGCCACTCCTCCAAACCCCATGGAGGAACAAGCAGCAGCTGTGGTACCAGTGAGTCAGCTGATACAGACAATACACATCATTCCACAGTTTGTAAGTTCCACTTTAAGACTTGGGTGTCACTTTGTTTAATCAACACTAGGTTGGGCAAACAATCAAAGCCAAAATTTAGAAACAAAACTGAATGTATCTTGTGTATGTTGATTGTTCAAGATGCTTTTTTTTTTTCCTTAAATTGGCGAATCCACCTGGATAAGAAATAGCAATTTTCTTATAATTGACTAAATTATAAAAAAGTCTTTTAAGCCCCATGCTTATTTGGCAGGATTCCATATCTTCACTAAATATAGCCAATCTACAAGCTTGGCCGGAGTCCATATCTTAGCAGAAAATAGCCGATCTACAAGTTCACAACGCATCGCATTTCAATTCTTTGAGCTTGTAGATCAGCTAATTTTTGCAAAAGCTTCCCTAAAATATGGATGCTGGGGTTTATGTGGTTAACCCCTTAAGCCCTATGTTATATTTTGCTGTACAATGGTGGTGCTTTAAAAGAGTGAAAATAGCTCTCTACAAGCTCACAACACATTGTGATGCGCTGTGAGCTAATCGTTCATTAATTGTAATCAAGGCAAAAGTTTGAAATAATGGTGATATTGATTTGAATTCATATCACCCTTCCCTTAATAAAAAGTAAGAAATCTGCAATGTTGTCTCTTCTTGCAGTTTTCTCAGGATGTCCGGCAGATCCTTACAGGCTTACATGATGGCAAGCAAATTGTTGAGGGCCTTGATGAGGATAATGTCATCACAACTAGCCAGAGACGTCTCCTCGTCCGTATCTTGGTGTCGTACCTCATTGAGAAGTTTGGAGAGAAGTACTTTATTTATTTTTTATATTGAATAGGGTTCCTGTTAAATACGGCAACATTCTCATTTGAAAAGTAAATTAACATGTTGTTTATTTTCATTTCACTTAAGATAAAACAGGACACTACTTTGAGGTCTGACATTGACCTAGATTTGCTAGGAAGAGCCAACATTTCACCTTGGCGACTTTTCCAACTGCTACAGCTATTTTTTGGGGATACGACACATTTTTCAGCAGTACTTTAAAGGGGTAGTTTGAATTATAGGACATAAAGAAAGATGTATGAAATGCTTACCGTCAATATAGTCCATGCAAAGGTATTAATTAATAACCCAAGTCCTGTGTTTTGAATTTTGATTTGGTTAGTTTACGTTTACTCCACAAAACTCATTGCATTTGTATTGTTGACTTATTTCTTTTAAAAAATGCTGTCACTAGGCACAATTTTCTGTATTTGCTATGCAACTTATCAATGTGCCTCCGCTGTTCACTGCCTGCAGGTGACCGCAGCACAACGTGTCCTTACGCGAGCTTTAGCATGTACATGCACATTGATAAAAGGTTACACAGCAAATACAGAAAATAGTGCCTAGTTGAACGGACACAGCGGTTTTATAGAAGAAATAAGTCAACAGTACAACTGCAATTAGTTTTTTGTGGAGTAAGGTTTTTTAAATGTATTTGTTCCAGCCAACTCACTGGAACTACTTGATATGGATCATAACCAAATCAAAACTTTGAACACGAGGTTATAAATTAATCCCATCACATTGCCTATATTAACTGTAAGTATTTCATACATCTTTATGTCCTACAATCCAAACTATCCATTTAAATCTAGTTTTCACTTTTTACCTGTGTTTTTTCTGTTTTACAGTCCTACGACAGATATCCGATTTGGTTCAGTCATTTGCCAGTTTAAAAGACTCATCAAGCAGTGGCAGCCTGAGTGTTTTTTGAAAAATGTCATTGAGATATTTATTTGGGGGGGTCATGATCCTCAAACTGATTCAATTTGATTTTTAAGGTTGCAATCCAATTCGATTTTCAATTTACACTTTACTTACCGTAATTTCCGGACTATTAAGCGCACCTGAATATAAGCTGCACCCACTGAATTTTTAAAAAATAATTATTTTTAACATAAATAAGCCGCACATGTCTATAAGCCGCAGGTGCCTACCGGTACATTGAAACAAATGAACTTTATACAGGCTTTAACGAAACACGGCTTGTAACAAAAATAAGAAAATAGCGGTAAACGGTAGCCTACCAAGAAAGTCATTGGTCACTATCTTCCTCCTCCTGCGCACTGAAACCACTGAAGTCATCTCCTTCGGTGTCAGAGTTGAATAGCCTCAGAATTGCTTCATCCGATGTTGGATTGTTTTCATTGTCCCTCTCGTCACTTTCATCCAGAGGCAAATTCCCCGCTGAGCTCATGCTGCCCTCTTCAACACGCAGCAGATGGGATGCGCCACTATCTTTGCATCAGTGAATTTGCGAAGTTTGAAACTTTTCCCGTAGTCAGGAGGGAGCTGCTGACACAGACCCGTCCCTGTGGACAGGCCTTTACGTCTCATAAATCTGAGACACCATATGGTCCACCTCAAAATCCCAAACTCATTGCGGGGCGATTGTTTTGGCTTTCAGTCGGATCTGCACAGTTGAAACACCTCGGCCGTCTGCTCTCTGTGTGTTGACCAGGTCTTCAAGCTCATTTTCTAGTTCGGGCCATCTGCTTTTCTTCCCTCTGAAAGCTTTTATTGTCTTTTTGCAGTTCCTCACGCTGCTGTTTCCAACGTCTTATCATCGATTCATTAAGGCCAAGCTCCCGTGCAGCAGCTCTATTTCCTTTCCCAACAGCCAGATCGATCACCTTCAACTTGAAAGCTGCATCATATGCATTTCTTTGTGTCTTTGCCATGATGAGGGTGACAAAATGACTACCTTAATCAGAATGATGGGAAGTTTGAGCGTGCACGATTTAATCTAAACAGTAAACTAAAAAGTTAGATTGTTTCACCTTAACCTGTTCGGCGATTTCATTGGTCTAATGAGAGCTTCATGCCACCAAAAAACTGAGCACCGTCACATAATGTGTTTTTTTGCTCAGTTTTTTTGCGGCATGAAGCTTGTGAAAGCGGGAAAAATCCATAAATTAGCCGCGTCACTGTTTAAGCCGCGAGGTTCAAAGCGTGGGAAAAAAGTAGCGGCTTATAGTCCGGAAATTACGGTAGTTAACTGGAGTCAGCCGAGGGGTCTATACCAGGCCCCCTTCTGTTTATGCTAGATTTCCAATGTAGATCTCCTGTTTCTGGCGAATCCTCACCAAAGAATACACACTAGGGTTTGTACATGTGAATTTATTGTCCTGCGGGTCCTTTAAAAAGTTTTAAATAAAAAATCGGCAATTTGAGGCCTTAAATTTGGCAAAATTTGGCTGGAAGTCACGACCATGACGCACCGTGAGCCTGTAGGTCTGCTGTTTTTGGCAACGGAGCGTGGAGAAGCATAAATTGAGCTTAAAAGCTAAAACAGTCAGTTTTAGCAGACACAATACAGCTCACTCCTCCTAGAAACGCTTCTGTGCCATTTGATGCCCACTGTTATGCACTAAGCAGCAGAAACAATAATTGGTCTACTTCTCTGAGGACAGACAGACGTACAGACAAACCCTGTTCTAACCGTAGCCCACGCTGTCAAAGTCAAACGTGCCTCATCTCTATTCATTGAAGATTTAGATTTCTTGGCAGGAAATATGGTACACCACAGGACGGAGCCACCGGCCAGCCATTGGATTCCTGGAAGAAAGGCTGCTGAACATCAGGAAGAGGTTGAGATCAACCAGCAGGTCGTGGAGCACGGCACAGACACCACCGCAAACGCCAGATGATGGCGCTCTTGCAAGGGCTCTCATACCAGGTAATTATTAAACTTAAAAATTATTTGATGAAGCAAAACATCCATATTTCAGTGACTGACAACTTTCGTGTTCTTTTTTACAGAATGTACCATATCAGACGAACGTGCGTCACAGCTTAAAGAATGGTTGAGAAACAATTCTCAGCCCCTCAGCCAGATAGAGACCTACATGCAGAACACGGCAGGCTACAGGGCCAAGTGGATTAGGGACAACAATTGGACCATCGATCAGATCCTCGAAGAGTTCCCTCGCCTAATGACCATAGGTATGGTAGGTTTATCCAATCCAATCCAACTTTATTTGTTAAGCACTTTAAAAACAACCGTCTGAAAGCCGGGAATGGTGACGTTGGAGTCCGGTATCTGCTCGTGTAGCCACGTTTGTAGGGTTTAAACCTCCTCTTCTTCATCCTCCGTTAAACCCCCGCTCTGCAGCCTCGCCCTCTCCTCAGCTCCTCCGGTATGGAGGGTCTCTCTCCAGTCAGGATGGTACCTCAGGGTGAATCATGTGGTCGCGAGTATAAACAATGCGACTCGCCGTCGCCATGGAGACCCGTGCAAATAAAAAATTAAAAGTGCTCAAAAACGCCAAAAAAGCGTTCCTCTGTCCAACATTTTTGAAGGTTTTTGACCAAAAAGGTGCAATTTCACATCATTTTGGCCACTATCATAACTGTAGGTAACAAAAAAAAAGTGTAAATTTGCTTTAGTTATTAACACCTGTATTTGCACAATTCACAGCCTTCTCGAACATTTTACACAGTAAAAAACAACATGAGCTCTGAGAATAGTGAGTGATATCATCATAGGAATAGAGTTAAATAAATCTGTCTGCCTCTTTATGCTAATTGGGTACAAAAAGTCCTCATGTCGGGAAAAAACTTGTTAACTCTGTTATAATTTTGGTAGTATCTGACTTGAATTGATATCCACAGTATTTTTCCACGTTACACATAAACAATAGAAACATGAACTTAACAAGGCCGAAAGAACAACTACCAAATGTGGGAACAGGGAATTTCCTTTACATCGTGAATGCAGCACAGCGTGCTTACGTTTGAAAACAGACAACACGGTGTCAATTGTGTGGGACTTTTACAAAGTTTCTGAAGAAGACAGGTCGCTTGTTATTTGTAACAAACTAGTGCAGTGCCCGTAGGAAGTATGTATTGCTATAGAAAAGTGGGAGGTTAAGTAGCTTTTTCATGGATGGCCAAATGAGGTTGTATCTGAAGGTGTAGCAGCTAGCTACAGACGAACATCCACAGATTCCGATTCCAGTTTGTTGTCCTCGCGTATCCGGATCTCCTCAGACCGGAACAGACTCGGTCCGGACTCGTTCAGTCTCAGTAATCCACAACAGTCAGTTTAGATGCACAGAACGGGACCGAACAGCCAGCAAAACCCGCTGCAGGTATAACGTTAGATCAGCGTGTTTCTTAAGGTGTGTCTTGGGGGTGGGCTCTGCAGTGATTGGCTCTGGTGCGCACATGGCTATGGTGGCTATGGTTGACAATGCTAGCGTAATTTTCTCTCTCTCCTCTCTCTCTCTCTCTCTCTCTCTCTCTCTCTCTCCTATATATATATATATATATATATATATATATATAAAAAACAACTGAACCTCATTTACTTTAGTGAAAAGGTATTCATTTGAATGGAATCATAAGCCAAAATCATTCAAACTTAGTTTTTTTTTTACTATGGAATGCACTTTTTCAGTTTGTTTACATAGACAAGTCTAACTTGTGTCAGTGCATTATGCACATTTTATTTATTGTTATTGAGGAATGCACTTTTTCAGATTGTGTTTACATAGAAATGTTTAAATCTAACTTATATATTTATTTTTTTGTATATATATATATATATATATATATATATGTAGTTGAAACAACCAGAATTGTAATTAATTTGACCCAGCATTTGGGTAGAATATTTAACTCATCTGTTGGGTTAAAAAGGACCAGCCCATCTTGCTGGGTCAAATTAACTACTGCTGGTCAGGTGCAATATTGATCCAGCGGTTGGGTTATAAAACCACCCAAGTTGGGTTATTTTTAACCCATAATTTTTCTGATTCATTCATTCATTCATTCATCATTCATTCATTCATCTCATATAGTACAAAATGAGCAGTATAGCTTACTCTGACTTACGTATTTATTATTTTCTGAGATGTATCTGCTATGTAATGGATATTTGTAATACTGAACAGAATAGGATCTTGGCAGTGGCTCCTGTTTGTCTATTCAAGTCACTTAACTGGTTATATCTGTTGTCCTGCAGGCAATCTGTGCTTTGGTGCTTGGTACTTTTGATGTGGCTGCCTGCATGTATGCAATGCCTAAACATGAAAGTTGCTGATGTTGTCTAGTTGAGATTAATTATATACTAAGCAGATCATTAACTACCTTGTTTTGATATCTGAACTCAATTATTTGAAGTCAGCTTTATATCTCACAGTTTGAACCTCTGGGACAGGTAGCAAATGTCCAAATGCACTCTGCTCACTCTGTATAGGACACATGATTTAATGGTAATATGATTGAATGACCTGGGCATGAAGGAAAATGCCCATGAAGACTCTTAGCACGAAAATGTCTGTGGTCAGAAAGATGAAAATATTTAATATTTCATCACTCAAAAACTAGGGAGTCTGCACAGCCTCTGAACTTCAGAGGATGATATATTGCTAGTCATTAAACATGGACTGCATACTTCTCCCAGCATGCCTCATGAGCAGTGACTACATGTTTAATAGCAGTGATGAGAGGGTTTATAACAGGCCTTTTTCACAGCAGACCTAACTTAGTAGGAGTAGGAAGTAGGAAGAGCACCGGTGTTACTAATTTATAATGGCCAAAACTGAAAAGTTGTTCAACATCTTACCCTGAACATTTTAAACGGCTGGAACTGTGTGAGCTTGAGCCCTATCCTATGTGTGTGCGTATATTATAATTCCAGTGTTAGCTTGGCATTTTAGTTTGACGTGCTGATGGGAATGCCATTTTTTGGCAGATATTTGTTCATAAATTTTGAGCGGATGATGCTTCTAGATGAAAAGTCAGAGAATTGAAGTTGCTGCATGTCTTCTTAAGGGAAAATTAATGTCTGAGCAAAATTTCATGACAATGCTTCAGATAGTTGACTGCTGTGGCCAGTCTGTCACGACCATTAGAGTAGCTTTAGTTAGCTTTTTTTTGCTAATTGCTGATTTGAAGGGAGCTAGCAGAATTGAGGGGTGTAGTGACACTTTAAAACCAATTGTGAACCACATGGTGCTTGAGGAAAATTGAAAGAATCGCTAAAGTTAGCAGGATTCATCCTCTTGGGACCATGAACGTCTGCACAAAATTCCATGGCAAATCATTCAGTAGTTGTTGAGATATTTCAGTGCTTTTCTTTATCCACTCAAAACGTAGACACTCTTTCTGTGTTAATGGCTCTGTTACAGTGAGTAACAGCATCTTCTGCCTGGATTCATTTTATCAATGGGTGTAAAATTGATCCAAGTTCCCCTGTTTAATTACAACACACATGCCCTCTACACTATCCCCTGCAGCTCTATTATTCAGTTACCAGTGTCAGATTTTTATTTTAATGGTGCAGCAGGAACACAAAGAGTGAGACAGAATCTCTTTGTGGGCTGTTTTCATGCCAATCCCCACTATTAACAGCTGGTCCATTACCAAACACCTCCCCTGACAAATGGGTTGTTCTGCAAATCATCTCTGAGGGATTTTATTAGCCAATACAACTACATAAAACTGTAAAAGAGACCAGGGGAGCAAAGATGGTGTAATGCTTCCTCGTAATTACCCAGTTCTCTGCTGATGAAAGAAAGATTGAGCAAGATGTAAGTATTTTTTTTTTTTTTTTTTTTTTTTACAATGGATGGCGTTTTGCAAGCACTTTTGATGGTCTTGAAAAAAGACAGTCAACTGGAAATATGTGTTTCATCGCAGAGTTGTTTACTGAGATAATTGTGTTTCCTTCCATTTCAGTGACTCAAAGTGGAGAAAATGGTCAATGAGCTGTAGCATTCAGGACCTGAACAACTGGATTATCTGCAACTGAGTGCTCATATCAGTACCTTCTGCCCACCCTAGAAGTACAAAGACAGCCAGGAAATGAATTGATTGCACTGTGACCGTCCTCAGCCCACATACAGCCCTTCTAACACATGTAGCCGCCATGTATGGATCTACAACTGCATGCACGTTATTAATGTACTGTATACTTAACTCAGCTATCAGGCAGGTGGGATTATAGTGTGTGATTTTGACATGACAAAAGTAAAATAAAATAAAAAACACAAAACAAAGAATTCTGGGTGCTGGATTTAATGTGATTCTTACAAAATGTGTACAAGATAGTAACATGAAATAATTTTACCAGACAATAAATGAGAAGACAGAACCTTTATAATGAGGTGTCTGAATATTGCATTTGTTAGTTACACCCAAAAGGTTGAGGGCTTTTATAAGACTAATGTTACTCTTATTTTGTTAATGAAATGACCCTCGCACTAATGTTTCTCATCAGTTAGATTGAACTCTTTGCATTGACTTTGTCAGAACATTAGCTTTGTTTTCTGTGTGAACATGTCACAATGCTCTAGTTTCTGTCTCTGAGAGGTTGCTCTCACCCAGTAGAAAGGAGGACTGAAATTTTTGATTCAAACATTGTACAGCCGTGCTAGCAGCTCTGTGAGGCTGGTATAGTAGTGCCTTCAGCTAATGTCAACATGTTAACATGCTCACACTATAATGCTAACATGCTGATGTTGAAGGGTGAATGGACACCATCTTAATTTATTGTGACAGCATGTTAACGTTTTCTAATATAGTTGAGGCTGGCAGGAAAGTCAATTTTGCAAGTGATCAAACCAAATTATTTTGCTAATTAAAAGTTTGATCTCATTGTTTTTGCTAAACGAAAAACCAGGAAATGACCAAAACTGTGTTTCATCAAACCCATTCACTAGTTGTCGTGACATTTCCCATAAAACCACACATTTTAATCTTATGGTGGAGCTAAAGGAAAAGTCACAGGATCACCAAGTGATGACACCAAGGCTCATTAAGGATCATGAACCAAATTTTGTGCCAATCATTTGAGTGGATGAAAATTTCTACCTGCTGGTGGTGCTAGATGTAAAGTAAGAGGGTCAACAACGTAATACATGTCTGGAAGGGACCTTTTAATATTGCTCTTCACAAATCACTGCAAGGTAATAATACATTTATAAATAGTAATAATAATAATTTAAAGTTAAATCCACCCATCGCTTGCCAGTTTTGAGTAAAGCTCAAGGTGTTATTAACGTTAATCAATCAGTCATCTGGGAGGCTGATCAATTTGGTAACCTTTTCATTCTGATCTCCTTGTTTATATTTCCATCAGAGGTGTGTGTGTGTGTAAAAAAAATATTTTTGATTATTGATGATGTATGTTTGTATTGATATTATATATACATAAGAGCTGCATGTTAAGAGCACTGGTGAACTCATGTAGTGCCTGCATTTTGAAAATGCATACCCTGTTTCCTCTTGGATGCACCTACAGTAGATAAAACATGATAACGTGACCTATTCAGTGGCTAAATGTGCAAGAAAATGTGCTAAAGTGCATACTGGGCTGCCCTTCAAGAGAAAACATGATGAAATGCTCTCTTGGCAGGCCTGTAAATACTACTGAGGACACTGAGAACATGTCCTCCGTGTCTTTTCTGACTCTTCTTAAATGTTTTAAAGGTCCAGTGTGTAACGTGGACCTTCAAAAACAAGGTATTAGTATCTGATGATACAAATCGTAGATCATTTAAGAGAAATATAGAATGGTATTAATAAGGAGGGGTGCTCCTGTTATATAGCCTACCTTTCAAAGCAAGGTTAGTCAATGCCATGAATGATGAAAGGCCTGGCCATGGACTGTATTCCACCTGAATACAGTCTATGCACACTGAATCAATTAGGAGTTTCTGCTCTCCCATTTCTGCCATTTACAGTGGCACACATATTCACAGTGGGAAATAGGCTGTATTATACAGTAATAACACATTAGAATAAGGTTACACTGCAGGGCAGCAGCTTTGAATAGAGAATTTGCCTACCTTGCTGCAGTCTTACTGTCTGTTTTTGTTTTTGCCTCATCAAGCCTTGCTCGAGGTTCATGGTGATGACAGACAGCCTCATAATTCATTGATCAGTAATGGGACTTTTTTTTTAATTGCAATTAATATGTTTACAGTATGTTTTGTGTTAAATATATATATATATATATATATATATATATATATAGAGAGAGAGAGAGAGAGAGAGAGAGAGATTTAAGGTTCAAGACTCAATAGATTAAACTTGAGCTCTTAACAGCAAGAATGTGACATAAGCTTGATCCAAAAATTTACATAAAACATATGACACACTTACAGTGCTTTTCTGTTTATTGATGCATGCTGTTTATTGATGCATGCTGAATATTTGTTCAAAATACAGCTACAATACAAAATTCATCACGTCATATAGGCATACTTCTTCTTTCTTTTTCCATTTTATTTTGACCAAATTCAATATTTACCACCTGAATAAAACTATAGGAATGCTAGAAAATAACGTGTGGTGAAATGAAACGCTAGAGGACACCAAGAGCGCTTTCTATGACCTAATTTATTGAAGCATAAGAAGCTTTTCCCAGCGGATCTGGCATTAGGAATAAATGTATTGAGGTGAGGTCCCATCATCTCTCACCCCTAAGGTCTAGGGATCTCTGGTTGTCTTACTTACTACTGCATAACACAGCATACGTTTAGAAAATGCAAATAGATGACAGCACCAAACAGGTTTGCAGTGGTTGAAATGGGAAGATCAACAAGGTATCCAACAAGGTTAGGTTACTGCACTGTGGAAAGTTTCGTGTGGTGGAATGAATGAGCCATTGTGTCACTGTTGAAAATGAATTATTCTGCAACTTGAAAGCTACGCCGTCATAAATAACGACACAGACTTGGTACAATATTGCACCATTATGTTAATATCTAAATGGCATCGGTCTTAAACAACCTAAAGTAATAAAAAGATTTATTATCAGAAGCTCGTCAAGTCAAATGAACGTCACACGGTCTCGGCAGGAAAAGTCAGGCTGCTAAATCGATCCATGAATAATCGCTCACATCTATCCCTCGGCCCAACTGAGAGCAGCAAACTACGACATGTGTGCATTTTGTGCGCGGTTTAAAATGAGCCGCTGTTTTATTCTCCCGGTACTTACCTGAATATAAATGTGTGGCAGGAGTCGCGTCTGTCGTTTTTCAGCCGTCAACAGAAGAAAAGTTACGCTGTCACTTCAGTAGCTTGTTCGCTAGCTGTAGCGCAATGCTAATGTGGTGCTAACGGCTAACCACTGGGCTTCACAGTGAGACTTGTTTCTGAGGCGTCGCCGCAATTCGTAAACGCATCCATAAGATATCAGTTTACGTGAGACTGAGCGTGTGTTTCTGCTATTATAACTGTTTTCGTTTAATTTGAGGGTTAAATGGCGTTGATAATGAAGTTCACATGTTAGTTGTGAGTGTTGACAGTCCACAGTGTCGCTTCCCACCTGATACGGTTCGCTACCTGTGTGTGTGTGTGTGTGTGTGTGTATCCTGCTAGCCACGTAAACTGCTCCTGCTCGGTGTGGACGTAGCAGGGGCAGCTAGCTCGCCTGTCCTGTCAAGCCAGTCCCATTTTATATGAATTAGGGGAACCAAGTGATTGTCAGTCTGCTTGATAAACAACAATACAAACCAGAGGACCGAACTCCGCCTATAGGACGTGAACAATTGTGAATCAAAATGCTATAGCTGGACTTGAACGTGTTGGTTTCCTGGTCCTGTTGCATTGAGCGGATGATGAAGCGGGTCATCTGGCTGATATCAGGATTAAACAGAAGAATGATGAAGCTACTTTTTGCCCTCGCTTTGATCGCCTACATTGCCTGTAAGTACATCTTTCTCTGCTGTTTACACTGACATCATTCCTGTGACTTTTGTATAACCATGACAACCAAACTGTGAACTCGTTTGAGGAGTTTGAACTGTCAGCAGCGTACTGTTTGGTGGCCAGGCCCCCTCAGTTTATATATTGTACCTTGTAAGACTTGGACGACTGGTTGGACATGTGTGATAAAACTAAGTCCTCCTTCTGGATAATTCACAGTTGAAGCAGTCAGGCTCAACATGAAGTAAAAATGCGTTGTATTGAGATGTATACAGCATTATCTTATTGTCAATGTTGTTTTATTTTCATTAGAGCAGAGAGAGAGTTGGATTTTCTAAATGTATCATCTATAGAAAGTAAAGTAGTCATTGTTTCCCAAAGGTTAAATCAGTGAGATTTAGTTTTAAGACAATCAACAGAAGATTCATCATCTACAAGTTCATGAAATTATGCCAAACACATGTAACTTATATCTTGATGTATAATTGTCACTGTTTTCTGACATTTTAAAGAGAATTATTAATTCATTAATCTAACAATTCCTGTGCTTTCGATGGGAGTTAATTCCCAAAAAGAGGGTGAAAACAGCACAAGTATGACATATTGGTGCAAACCTTCCAAATCTAATTACTTTGTTAAACAGTGTCCTTTTACATTTGTGATTGGCTTGTATTTGCACAAATGTTCTGTCTGCTTTGCTGCGCACAGTGGTTGTTTTGAGGATTGTGTTGTGGATGCCAAATGAACATGGTGTCTGTAAAGCCCATGATGTCATCTATTGTGCCTATCAGGTGGTACGCCAACTGGGTTTTCACATATTTTACCCAGTTGATTTATATTTATGAAACTTGTTTTATTGACTGAATATGGAAGATATTTATAATAAGCTGAGCTCATGTGTTTATTTCATCCTCATCCTGGGTGGGTATGTTATCTCGTAATGCTCATGACATTTTGTCTGTGGCATTGTGGCTGGCAGGGCTGTAGTCAACAAGCCCAATGATGTGAATACAACCTGAAGAGCAAACACATATGCAGACACTATTCAGCCAGCATGCATTCAATCATTTGTTATTGTTTTAATTTTTTTTAGATAAGGCTTAAGTGGAAAAAAGCAACTCCCAGGGCCATGCTGTCCACTAAGGAGAGTGTGAAAGGGGAGAAGGGAGAGACATGAGGGGATGTGTGCCAGGCAACACTTTAGAGGAGGGGGTGAGGCGAGGTCGTTTTCTGGACTGACATATAATGCTCAGTGAACAATGGAGTTAAATTTGACTCAAACTTAATGGTATGTGGGTGTATTCAGCTGCACTAATGCACGTTTTTAAAAGGAATTTGAAAAGTCTTTATTGATCTGATAGTCAGTGAAGATTAAATTACACAAACTTGGAAGGTCAGAGGAAATAACTAGATCATTGTACACAAAAGACAGGATATTATCCAGCTTGGCTTTTCATACTAATCCATTTGAAAATAGTCAGTTTTTATAGATCACTATGACAATTGTAATGATTTAAAGCTCAGTAATTTACAATCCACTTGTGGAACAGTATAGTAGTTGGAGCTGAGGGAAATGAAGATAGCTGCAGCTTCTTTCCTTACATGGCTCTCAGTGTTGCTCTCTATCTTTATTAGGCAGACTGGTATTGCTGAATATGGCTCTACTGTATATACATACACTTTGAACTCATGATGCAGTTTTCTCTTTCTCTCTTTCAGCTGTCTGGGCAACACATACGAACATGAGGTAGAGTAATTAATTTCTATATTAACTAACTGATTTTGTATAAAATATTTTCCATGTTCCATGGTAACTAAATGGTTTTTTATGCAAGGGCAAATTAAAGGCGATTGCTCATTAACTAGTATATTCTGTGAAAAAAAATCACACATCAAATAATGTAGTCTAATACTATCCTTTATACCTTCTGTATCATTATTTCATCTGCAAATTAATAGTGCCAAATATGCAAGGGTGGAAAAAAATATAAATATCCATCTTTTTTTAAATGGGTAAATGTCAATGTGCAAAACTCTTTAATCAGTCACCAAGCACTGGCACCCACATTGCGCACCTCTATGAGGTCATATTTTGAGTCGTCATTTTAGTAGTCTAATGAGGTTTGTTATACAACATGATGAGCGTGTTCTTTATCAGCATGATGAACCACTGTACTCCTTAATGTTGTGTAATTGTACCCATTTAATTAAGCAGTCCTGACAAGTGCATGCGGTGCTGACAGAAAATCATTAGTTTTCCTGATGACAAACGCTTTTCATTGTGCAAAATGCAGGATTTTACTGTCATGGATATTCTCTGTTCATAAAATGTTAAATTGACACTCAATTATTTTATCGTTCTACTCATTTTATAATTGGACCAGACCCATTCTGTCTTGAACACTTGGTTCCCATAGTGGATTTATTACTGATCTGGCACTGTACTTCAATAAGACTGTCTCTTACGTGTGTGTATATATATATATATATATATATATATATTCATTCATTACGTGGCACAACACAGCTTCTTTCTCTGTGATAGCTGAGCTGTGACAGCCACAATGGGGTTGAGATAGTGAAAAACGAAAAATGTGTGAATCCTTCTCAAAGATGACAGCTGCACTGACACTATTTATTCAAGGGTCAAAATATTCAATATTGTCGAGGATAATGTGTCATTTCTATGTGAGAGGCAAAAGTGCCATGTCAGAACCAGATATGTAAATACAATCAACTGATGTTTTTCTATAGTTAAACTAAAGTTTTCTTCTGTGTCTAAAAATCACAGCTTTATTGTTTTTCTCTGCTTTGAAATGCTGTGAGAATTTATGCAAGGCTTTTGCTGATTAAGTGTATGATGATTATCTAAGATGATCTTGAACCTATCTTGTAGTAAACCAGTGAGTGGGACTGTGGGATTTAAGCCTAACTGATTGAGGTATTTAAATTTCTGAATTAAAACAAAAAACACACACAACAAACGTTCCTGGTTGGTTTATCCATAAATAATAATCAGAAAATTGCATTTATCAAGATATACATTGTCTTATCCTGATAGAGGATTTTATTCTATCCCACTGTTATTGGATGGGTGGGGGTGGTGGGTCTCCTCATTTCAAGCTATTTTCTCTGGCCTTGTGTTAATGGCTGCCACCATCTTATTCCCCTGTCTCCACATCTTTATCTTTCCCTCATCATAGATCAATACAAGAACATGGAGAGATGATCGAGCAGAGAATTGATGAAGTGAGTTTAATCCAAAAGCTGTTTTCACCCTCTTAACATTTTATCTTTTACAGGTCTTAGGAGCTTTATGTTATCAGCTATCTGCTTCTTGTGTACGTTATTACACATTTACTAAAATACACTATTGTAAAGACAAATACATGTGAAGACATTCTATTGATTTACATTAATTAGCCTAATCTAGATTTTTGAGCACGTCCAAAACATCCAGTGCAACCTGGCCTGAATCACTTCAGTTCAATTTTAGCATCACCCAGACCCATCACAAACCTGATAAAAAGCTGAATTCCTAAAGAATTATTAATTAATTAATATTAATAAAATAAATGATAAAATGTTTTATGCTGTGGAAAATCCTTGTTATACCTTAGATTTCAGTGTTTCCTCTAGGATTTTTTTTAGCAGTGGGGGCAGGCCCGTCCGAACAACCCCCACCCCGTCCCGCCCCCATTTCGAACCCGCAGCCCCCCAAAACAACATAGAGGAAACACTGTGATTTGCACGCTGCTAACACATTTCAGGTCCCTGCAAAGAATAATCTTGTTCTATAAAATTTAAATTCATCCTGAGTTAAGCAATTAGCTGTTTAGGCTAATAACAAAATCTAGATAAATCAGAAGTACACAGCAGAGGGCTGTAGGCAATTTTGTAATTTTTCAACAAGCAAATGATAGAAGCTGAAGTGAAGCTGACTTAATGCGTATTCTTTCTTTATTTTTTAACATGTTTATTTTGTTTCTGTTTATTTGTTCATAGTTGAGAGCTTTATGTGAATCTTTCTGCATAGTATACGGAAAATAACTTTCACACCTTAAAAAAAGTCTGTTTCTCCCGGTTTTTATGGTTCATTTTGTCATTTGGTAGCTAGCCATGGTCGTTTTCAGATAAATTAATGTTAGCAAATATGTTACCCGAGTTTTGTTTACATACCTTAGCTAATACTGTGAAGTAAGGAATTTATATTAAAAAAACTCTTTTTCTAAGCTGATTATGGAAATTGTTAATGAATGAGGCATCTCATTTCCTTCACTGTTGAGTTGCACATGCGCAATACTGGTTGGACAGGATGTACTGCCTTGGTAACACACGGCGCCAATAGATTTTCTTCTGATTTTACATAATAATAATAATAATGATAAAGAATATAGTTTGCAAATGGACCTGTTAATTTATTTACCCCTAGAAGTTATGAAAAAAATGAAAAAAGGTTTTACATCTGTGTTCCTCTACATAAATTTAACGGAAGAAAGATATATCCTCAATTACTATATAACAGTATTTTTTAGATGATAACTTTGTTGATGTTGATGAAATAACTTACATCTATTCATTTTCCATCTGTGCGTATTTAGGCTCTAAAAGGGTTGAACATGGATTTCCACACAGTATCCACAGCTTGAAAAAAGAACATTTAATAGAAAATAAAAAAAAGGCCTTGGCCTTGAATCTTAAATTTAATAGACAAATGTCTTAGATGTTTTCTCTTGCCTGCTTTAGGCAGCAAAGTTGGGAAACATACACCCACAATACACCGACATTGATTTTGGTTCTCATCTCACGTTTCTCTCACTTTTCATCTCAATTTAGGCTGTGGGTCCTCTTAGAGAGAAGATTCGTGATCTGGAACAAAGGTGTGTATCCATTTTTAATGCACACATACGTACACATACACATGCTCAAAATAAGTAAGAGGAAAGTGTTGTTTGCAGACTTGTGACCACTAACAATTAGTATCTCTTCTCACTCTCAAAACTGATATATTTTCTAATTTGTAGTGCCAACTCAGTACTCAGTGAAAGGTTCACTGAGTGGCAATTGACTGCACTCCTATTTATTGGACCCAGTTTTAAAAGGAATGTTGGTAATTGTTTTCCCCAAAATAATCAAATTTTCATTCAAAACCAAACAATTAGAGCCACTTGTTGATTGTAGATTGTCCCTACTGTTTGCTGCTTTCCATAAAGCTGCAATATGCCACAGGATTTCAAGACCCTATTAATTCAGTGAACACTATATCCATGTGATCCTTACATGGATATACAGTACAAGCTGCAGAGTGCTGCAGGTAGACTGTGTAGAACAGGTACAGGCTTATCACAGGCTTATGTTATTCTGTTCTGTTGCAGCTACTGATGCCAAACACATTTGAGACATGTTTGACGCCTTGAATGTATATGAGGATAAGAGTTCTTGGAAACTGGCAACATCTCTCAATTATCAATTAATCCAAACCTCTAAAATTGATAAATATTTGTACTGTAGTCAAAACAAATGCGATCTTTAGGGATATCCCAATCAAAGATCAGTGTTTGGGGCCTGAACCACACTCTTCAGGCTGCTGCCAATGCAACAAAACCCCCTTGAGCAAAAAGCCAAAACTAGTAATTTAGTGTTTAGTATTATTATTATAATGTAGTACGTGCAAAAGATGTACAGAGGATGAAAATGAACAACAGGATGTAGTTCTGCACCGAAGGAACAAACACTGGAGGTTATATATATTATGTAGGAAAATACAGGTATCAGATTGGGACTTGATATTAGCAGATACTCAATATTTAATGATTCGGGTTGGATTTGGGGACAGAAAAACTTGATTGGGACATCCCTAGTAATGTTAAAATAAAGTTAAAAAGTAGGGATGCACCGTATATTCGGCCACCGAAAATTTTCGTCCAAAACGAAAATGTTTGGGAAATTTTCTAATTTATCACCGAAACAACACAGCCGAGTCAGAAAGTTGTGATGATGCAAACAAAAACCGCGGCCAGCACACGCTTGTCTGGATAAGTGTCAACATGTCTGCGGTGTGGACATATTTCAATATATCTGAGTAAGACCCACGGATAGTGATTTACAAAACGTGTAATGCTGTAAATTTCAAGAGGGGGTGCATCTGCAAAGAGTTTCTCCACGTTGGGTTTAATTTATCACCTGAAATCCAAATATCCTGATTGCCATTCTGAATATGAGAAGAATGTGGCACAGAAAAGGAAAATCAATCCGAGCATGCCCACTCTGTCTGTGGCGGACATTTTGAAAAGGCAAGAAAGTTTTCCAGTGATGGTGCCAAGGCAAAGGGCATTACACAAAAAATGATGGAATTCATTACCTTAGATGATCAGCCATTCTTTGTCGTAGAGGATATGGGATTAATATTTTCATACTTTTGTAATTGATTTATTCTTTGAATTGCAATGCCTTGATTTTAGTGAGGTTAGTACACAGTCATAGCCATAAATGCAATGGTTGCATTTTTGTTTTTCAGTTTCGGCCAAGAATTTTCATTTCGGTGCATCCCCATTAAAAAGGTATTAGATTAATTATTAAAAAAAGATGCACTAAGATACCATATTGCTTCAGTGCTGCTAACTCAGGCAAAGCAGTTCACTTATGGTGAACGTTAAGACTAGAGAGAAGAGTAACAATGCAGTAAAGCCCATTTATTTATTCTTAAAGAACTGGATTTACAGTTAGCTCATAGATATTGTTGTTCTGTTTTGCTACGTCCTTGCTTTTTCTTTCCTATGATCGTCACTAAATAGTTTGTATTTTCTCTCTCTCAGTTTTTCTCAGAAATACCCACCTGTGAAATTCCTGTCAGAAAAGGATCGGAAGAGAATTTTGGTATGCGACAAACACACTATTTCAAATAACCACATTCACAGTAACTATTATACTGAAGCCATAACCCTGAGTTGAATTATTATTATTATATTATTGTTTAGCTGTGGTAACAATGTGGCTCTATGGATGGCAAGGTCGGTCGGTCTGTCTGTTTGCCACATTGGTCCAGACTTCAATATCTCATCATCTACTGGATGGATTGATACACATTTTGTACAGATTTTTGTGGTTCCGTGACAATGAATTCTTCTGTCTTTTGTGTTGCTCTGACTTTTCATCAAGTGCTGCCATTAGGTTAACTATTTAGGTTTTGAGTGAAATGTCTCCACAACTGTCTGATGGGTTGAATTGTAATTGACGGACTGAACCATCACAATTATTGCTTTAGAAACATTTTCCACAGAAGTCACAGGTCATATTACAGGTGTAAATAATAAATTGAATGATGGCTAAATTTCATTTAACTGCTTCAGTTTCAAGGTCCTGGTATTGTAAATGTGACTCACCGTCACACTGTCTTGACTTACTGGGACATTGGATCATTGTAAATGTTATTAACACCTGTGCTTTTATTACTATGAGGAATCAGACTGTTTGCTGTGAAAGAGGTCTATTGATTCAGACTTCACTGTTGCCTATGGACTGAGTAAATGAACACAAAACAAACACTTACCCCATTTTGTTTTGTACATGCTAAAAGGGAGTGTTTTATTGGTCTTTTGAGAAATTAACCCTCAGAAGGACACTCAGGAAGTGTTATTGCTAAAATATCTTTTACTGATGTTATCATACATGTGTATTCTTTCACTAGATTACTGGTGGGGCTGGTTTTGTGGGTTCCCACCTTACTGACAAGCTGATGATGGACGGCCATGAGGTGACTGTGGTGGACAACTTCTTCACAGGAAGGAAAAGAAATGTGGAGCACTGGATTGGCCACGAAAACTTTGAGCTGATCAATCATGATGTGGTGGAGCCTCTGTATATTGAGGGTAAGTGAGAGAGTAATTGTGAGAGATGATGACGTTTTTACTTGCTGTTGGGATCTAAGTTGGACCAGCTTGGGCAGAGTACTGCTACTATAATGTAGAGGTGGGCGATATATATCGTTTGTGATAATATCGTCATTGTTGTTTTGACGATGTGCAAATTTCCATTATCGAGTATTTAAATTACTTCGACAAAAACAATGAAACGCCCGCGGAAACTCCTCACATCCATTAATACACGGTGCAGCAGCGCTCTCTACAGCATGGCAGGATTCAGTCACACAACTAGTGGGCCTACGTGATCACATGACGTGATCATGTCACCTCTATCATCCTCCTAAAGTTTGCAGGGCGATGGAGAAAAATGCAAACACCTCCAGTCCCTGAAGCTACCGGTACTTCAGATGATTTAGTGCCGAGACGTGGGTCCTATGGGCTTCAGCGTTCAGAGCGCTAAGCGCCTTCAGCGGTAAAAAGATGTCAGCAGAGACGGGTTTTTTTTAGCGCAGCGCTCAGAGCGCTTCAAGTTGAAATCTGTTCAACTTTTAACACCACTGGGCGCTTGGAAAATGAGTTTTTGAGCTCTCTCAGCGCTGTAAACGCGTTTGGTGGACACAAGTCCAGCTCAGACAATTCTAATCACATTTTAAAGGATATCGACTGATTATCGTTATCGCCAAAATCCCAAAAAATATTGAGATATTATTTTTTGCCCACATCGCGCACCCCTACTATAATGACAAAATAACCAATCTATGCACAGCTATGCAACAAGCACAACAAACAAATAAAGGTTGTAGGCTGCTAGTCGGAAGTTTTTACTGGAACCAATTGTAAAACGACAACTAAAAATGACGAGGCGTTCAAGTTTTACTAGGGCTGCACAATTAACCAAAATACAATTGAAATCACAATGTGGCCAAGTACAATATCCAAATAGCAGAAGATGCAATTTTTTGACAAAGGTAAAATGTGTGACAAAACAGCATTATAATGATGTGCAGCTCTTCCGTATTACCCATTACACTTATAAATATCAATATGGACTGAAAACCCTAGTCTCGTGTTTTAGCTTTTCAGAAACAATGATAAAAAAGCTCTTAGAAATTACATTGAAATTTAGTAGAACAGAAGCAAACACAGAAATGGTTGAGGACCCTGACTTTCCATTAGAAATGCAATTATAATATATAATTATATGGATTTAAAAAAAAATCCATTTGTTTAATTGATATAATTGTTTGGATTTATGATAATATGGTTCAAATAGAAAAGCGCAGTCCCATGAAACAATAATACACTATTTTTTAATTCTTTTTTTGTTTTCTACTGTAAGAGAAAATAACAGGCATACCTGTAGAGTTCAATGTTAGCCAATAGCAATAAATCCTACTGTAGTGAAGATTACAGGGTTCTGTTTATGTTGGATTTCATTATATTGTACATTGTATATGCTGTAATTGTATTTAGTAGTATATAGTATTTATAGAGGCAGCTTAGTGTCAGTTTCAGACTTGGAGTTATTGACAGTTTTAAGGATTTTTTCTTTCACCCTGCGCTTTGCTGTCACAGTGTTACATTTCCTGTCTGGAGCATTTGTGGTTGCACATACAGTCAAGTAAAAAGCGATCAGGAACACCATTTCTCACAAACATGGCAGAGAAATTGGCTTGCAAAGCAGGTGTTTTTTCTTAACTTACTACCCCCAGTTCTCAGTTAGCTTTCTCGTATGTGTGATGCTATGAATTTAAATTACTGCTGAAAGCTGTCAGTAATCCACTCACTTGAGCTTGATCGTGTCAAACACCTTTAATAATGTGCTGCCTATTTACCTTGAGAGGGTAATCCATAATGCCTATATCTTCATTGATCTCGATTATTTTTCCATTGATATCATAGTGTTGCTCCTCATTGTACTTCGGTTCAGAAAAGAAGAAAAACAAATTCCAGGTCTCCTCTTCTGAAAAATGTTTGCCAAAGCAGTCATTAAATGTCATTCAATTGTAGAAATGACTCTGTGCATACAGCAGTATTATCTAATGTAACTAATGGCCTTTCTTTCATGTAGCCTTTGACACAGCACATGGAATCTGTTGCTTATTGTTATAGGCTGTCAGGACAAGCTAAAGATAGAAATAGACCCAGGTTTAGCTCATAGTTGGAAAGCTGATTTGAAACTGTTTCCATTTCTCTATTTATCCTCTCTGGACGACAGTCTGTGTTTCTGATATGGTCACCTCACAATACAATTTATCAGTGGGTGCTCACAATTGCCCGTGAGTACCACAAAATCAGTGCCTACGATGCTAGGAATATTCAAATCCAAGTGTTTTTTGATCAATGCATAGTTTATTTAATATATATATATATATATATATATATAAAGCCTGATCCGTTTCTGATCTAAATAGGGCTGTTAGTGTTTTTTGTTTGTTTCATGGCCACTGTCACATAGGGAAGGGGAGGGTGAAGTGAGGGAGCTGCAGTCTGCAACTACACCACTAGATATCACTAAATCCCACATGCTGGACCTTTGAATCTAGTCACTGTTCTCTAAAGTGCTGCATTTAACATAGTCTGGCATGCCAGCTGCTTACGCACACAAAGACTAGCTGAAGACACAACAGCAGCAGCATCAAATCGTAAATATGCATGGGTTACACAGGCACCAGAAGATAAGCCAAGTCCCTGACTCTAGTGAACACAATAGCAGTGTATACCACTCTTATGTTCCTCCCTGTATTATCATAAATTCTCACTGCTTAGAGTGCCATACAACTGGCTGTGATGTTACTGAATAAATGTTAAAACAGGGGAAGATTAGATATATTGGAGGGGTTTGCATTGAAAAAGAATTGAATGTGTAGGATTCAGTGCCATCTAGCGGTGAAGTTGCAGATTGCCACAATTTGAATACAGGTGTGTGTAGGAGAAACTACAATGGCAGCGAAACTCACGAAAGGCCCTATCCGTTCTGGGCTACTGTAGAAACAGTTCAACATGGCAGACTTCATGGAAGGCAACCTGTGGCGTCTTTAGATTAAAAACTGCTCCAAAGTAATGAAAACCATTCTTTCAGGTGATTTTCCACTAATCCAATTTCTGGCAATAGATCCTCCTAAATCTTACACACTAGACCTTTTAATTTGAAAGTACTTGCCAACTCCATGAAAATTACTTGGTCACTCCATGATGCCCCATGACTGTCGATAGAATTATGTCCATGCATTTGGTAGATAAAAGAAAACAGAAATAAAAACTTAATAATAAGTGAATAATAGATTTCTTCAAAAAAAACTTTGGGACATGAAGTGATGTCAGTTTCTCTGTATTTTAGGGAGGAAATGAAGTATTCCAATACATAGAAATGTTGAGAGAGAAGATGGAATAAGCTATGAAAGTAAAAATGTCATGAGTCAAGAATCAAGAGGTCAAGTCTTCAATAGGTGATGGCATTCAGCTTGAAAAGGGAAGAATGGAATTAAGTGGTTGAGAAAATGGGAATATGATGAGCTCTGGCGAATGGGTCAGAGATGGTTGAGGCTTTGAAGACCTACAAGGCGATTAGATCTTGTCAAAGCTAAGTGCATATAAGCTTATTTGTAACTATGTAACAAATTTATGTGAGCTGCTGAAATTCAAATTCATTCAATCACAATAAATGTGTAGAAGTATAGATATAATTTGCTTCCCTCAGTAGTGGACATTAGTTGCAACAGACAGACACATTTTTGTCTGACTCATACTCTATCATACATAATCTATTATCAGCTTTTTTTTCTTCTTTTTTTTCTTCCCAGCCTTAAATATCCAGCCCTGTTATGCTGCACCGTAGACATCCAAGGCTGGCTATCAGTAAAAGCATAAAGTGCAAGGTTCCAAAAAGCTAGAAACCAAAACAAAGGAAATACATTTTACTGAAACAGATGTGCGTTTGAAGGTGACATGATTTATGTTTCTCCTGCTCTTCACAGTGGATCAGATCTATCACCTGGCATCGCCGGCCTCTCCTCCCAACTACATGTACAATCCCATCAAAACACTCAAGACCAACACTATTGGCACTCTTAACATGCTTGGTGAGTACATAAAGTCCATGCTGCTGACTAGGATAAGTCTCGAAAAAGGAACTTTATATGACCACTTTTGTTAACGCTTCAAAGTCTGAAATGAATCCCATACCCTTAACGCAGTGAATTTGTTTTATTAAATGTGCTTCTTGTTACGCTTTCTTAAGAGCAATGTATCATTTCTAATACAACAAAAAGAAAGAACAGTTAAGTAACTCACAATGTACAATGAATGAACTGTTTTCAAGTTGAGATTCTTCAGTTCTTTTAGATTTGGTCGATACAAATGTGTTTTCATTCATTGTTTTTCTTTAAATTGTAGTGCGGGACAAAAGAGGAAACAGAAAAACTACAATACTTATTTATTCTCCCACATTACATGTTTGAAACTTTGATTCATGCCGACTGCTTACAGTCTAAATATCCAGCAAAATACTTCATGCTTTAAATGAGAGTCAAAACCTAATTTATTTTTATATTGTCCGGGTTCTGTCAGACAGTTCAAAATTAGGCAGGAGAATCCTATATTCAATAAAAAATTAAACTGATGAAAAGAGCATCTCCTGTGGATGAGTAAAAAATGAAATCTGTATTCCATTAAATTAAATAAATTAAAGGGCTTTATCTGTATTGTACTGACAAAGCTCTGTATGAATATTAACATATTAGATTATATTCAAGACATTGTAATGGAAGACAGAAAGTCAATGCACTGTGTTTTTATCAAAGACAAGTTTTATAGTGTGTGCAACCTTGGCAGCAGGTTTAGTACGTGCTCTCACTTCTTTCTAATTGGTGTGATGTCAGAGTTGTAAAAGAAGCCTTTTCTCACTGTGATGTTCTTTCCAAGGTCTGGCCAAACGTGTGGGCGCCAGACTTCTCCTGGCTTCTACTTCCGAGGTTTATGGAGGTAAGAAAGATGTCTCCCATTCATGTTAAGTGTTTAAAGTGGACTACGTAGATAAACAAATTGAATTGGTGCTGCTTCTGCTTTTCAAATGAGCAGGATACTCATTGGACCAGTTGAACAGAATTTTATTTCTACGAACCATTGTTAAAAAAAAAAAATACCTAAGTAACCACATTGCAAGACTCTAGATGGATATTTTCTGTTTCCACACACTGATTATCAATCAATACTAAAATAACAAAAACTATATTTCTTAATACTTCTAAAAGGCTCTTTGCAGGTCTCAATTTAGCAGCACAACATGAATGTTTTAGAGGCAGCATGTATGATAAATTACTTTCTAGAATCCCTCTGGTCTGACAGCATAAAATGAAATATTTGTGCCAAACAATCCCAGAGAGAGTTAGAAATGACAGAAGAGAAAACCAATCAATATACATAATTGAACCTAGTGTGCCAGCTCAGTGATCCATTAGAGTATTGTACAAATTAAGGTGTTTGTGTCTGTTGAGTGTTTAAACCACAGCAGACGTCATTCTGAAAGATGGGAAGAATGCTCCTCCAAATCAACGTCGTCTGTGCAGAACAATGAAACCTAAAAATGTGTCTGAAATGTTTCTCAAATTTCTGTGTTCCAGATCCAGAGGTGCACCCACAAAATGAGGAGTACTGGGGGCACGTGAACCCAATTGGTCCTCGAGCATGCTACGATGAGGGGAAACGTGTAGCAGAGACTATGTGTTATGCCTACATGAAACAGGTATAATCAGAAAAATTAAAAACATTGATATATATGCAAGACTGCAAATGTAGCCATCAACAAAAACTACAATTACAAATAAAAATAAAGAAAAATAGTTAAGTAATTCCACTTTTTCTCAATAACTGGTGACTGGTAAACTGTCACTGCTCTATCAATGTTTTTGTTAGTCTTGCAAATGTGATAATCTCTGCTATATTATATCAGTAGATGTTATACAAAACCTCTATAATTCTTTGTGCAAAAACAAAATGTGGTTGATTTCTAGGATTTCTTGATTGTAATATAATAATATAAAATGTAGTACTCCACACATGTCTAAGCCTGAGGTTGCAAAGAGAGGAATTTATGGATGTTAGGATTGAAAATTGCCACCAGTATCTGAAGTGAACCTTTTTGGTCAACACCTGTTTTGTTCTAGATCTATAAAATGTTACTAACAAGAAAATATATTTATTTTATCAGAATACTAAAATAGGATGTGTAACTGTGCCCCTTATTTCAGCAGACTTGAACAGTAATAGAAAATACAAATGAAGAAAAATTCACAACATACTTCAAGCGCGATATCAGTAAAAAGCTCTTGAAAATGTGTTTCCTTAGACATCCTAATGTTGTTGAGACTTTTTGATTTTTTCCTGTTATGACTTGATTGACACCAGCCTTTGATGATCAGATATGATTAACTTCTCTTGCCTTTCCCTCAGGCAGGTGATATTTATTTATCTGCCTCGTCTCCTGCTCCTCCTCAGCTGCTCATTATTTTTTTCACACCTACTGGGAGAATTCTTGGAAATGGACGGCTTTTAATATCCAACTGTCAGTCGTTTAGGCACAGGGACAAGAATATCAAACATTAAATCTACTACCCAGTCATGTAATCAAAATGCATTAACATTTAAAAACCGATGAGTGTAGGTTATGCAGTGGATGAAAGAGCATGTGTTTCCTGCTCCCCAGACAGATGGCAAACATTAAACACGTGGAAAACTGTGTGGAAGGTGACTTCTGATTGCAAGTTGATATGATGCATTTGACCATTTTTTATGACGTACAAGACAAGCATACACTGCTGTGTTTAAAACACTGTTTCATATCATTGAGGGGCCTCCTTGATTTTATTAGAAGTGCAATGTGCAGGGAGGAGTGTCTTTTGGATTTTATCGATGCCAATTTTGGCACTGTTTTTGAAACTGAAACCATTTTTACTTGGGACAGAGAGGCTGAAAATAGATGTTTACAAGTTACAAGTAAAGTAAACTTAAGTAACACTAGTATAGGAGATCTATAACCTCTAGGGAGTGAAGAGCAGCCTGTGTTGTGAGTGTGTGTATATATGTACGATCGTGTTTGTGTGATCTACTCTGGTGAATGCCTGTCAAGGTTTCACGTGGCAGGTGTACAGGAAAAACAATAAGCCTTTTTTTTTTTTTCCTTCCAAACAGAGCTTCTCTTGATAAAAGCAGTGACTGTCAGTATATGTGCAAATGTAGATGCTTCAAAAACATGTAACACATCAGATTTAATTAAGCACAGCAGAGGGCTGTTTCATTTGACAGCAAGAAGACCATTGGACCAACACAGCTAGCTACTGTAGCAAATGTTAGCACTAGTGTTTTAACTGATGCTGGTGTTGTTACTTCCTGAAACTGATAACTATGGAATATTATAATGTGTCGCTTTAAATCACATTATTCGGTGCAACAGAACCGCCTGCCAACATTGAACATCAAACCAGGGAAGTGGACAGGCTGCACATATTTTCTCATTAGTTTTCCAAACTGCTCACACCCTTGTGACATTCTTTGACTCGCGCACAGATAGCGTACATATACACAGGTTTAAAACACAACCACAGACTATACTTGAATATTTTCCACTTTAATCTAATTTAGTTGATTGCATTGTTGAATGAGGCCTTATATATGTTCTTAACGTTTACTATTATTTCAAATCACCCACTGGGCTCTGCACTTACCTGTTTTTTTTAAAGGGCCCTTGTGCCACTCAGTTAGAACATTTTTTAATGCAATACTGTAATATTCATGCATTTTAAAACATTCAGTACACAGTATTGACATGAGAGAGGGGCACACTGACTTTACTGAGACGTCTTCGAATTATTTAGTAATTGGAATCCAATAAAGGACAGGGGTGCATTGTGCTTCACAAATACATTTATTTTCACTATATTTTTTAATAAGTCCGTTCAGTATCAAATCCAAAACCATTCAAATCCCTTATGGAACTGATTTAGGTTTATTTCAACATTGGAAAGTAAGCTCAGAGAATCCAGAAGAGATTTTCTCTGAACTAATACAGAAAATAACTCTCAGTATATTGTTTCTACAATCATGGCTTTCTTGTTCATATCTCCCTCCACATATTTCCATTTAAACATCACAGGCACAATAAATATAAAATAAAATAAACAAAAATGTATAAAGCACAACAAAACCCATCTGTGTTGTTGTCATGTCACATTGACGTACATATATGCTCTAAAGAAACGTCCTTGTCGTTTATTCCTCCATGTAGTTCCCTGAAATGGTTTAAAAGCCCTATGGTCTGGTTATTACCATGACATCTTGTCTTTGTATCCTATAAACAGAGTGTGTGTGTGTGTGTGTGTGTGTGTGTGTGTGTGTGTGTGTGTGTGTGTGTGTGTGTGTGTGTGTGTGTGTGTGTGTGTGTGTGTGTGTGTGTGTGTGTGTGTGTGTGTGTGTGTGTGTATTAAGAATTTATTGAACCTATGTGGTTGCCTATTAGAATATTTAACCAGTCACAGATCATTAGACACTATAACACAGATGTACAGGATTTAAATGGAAAACAGCACCACACATTCCTCTGTTAAATAAAAGTAGTGGCGGCAATAGGATTATAATTGCTGGAGAACGTTTGAGTTTAAATTTAAAATTTTTTTTTTATTCAAACTGACTTTTTACACTGCTTTCAGTTGATTCCTCTCTCTGATTATTCTGAGTTTTGGTGTTTAATTAAGTTACACTCCATCTTTTACATTTACAGGGGATATATGCGCGCACACACACACACACACACACACACACACACACACACACACACACACACACACACTTACCTTTTGAGACCTCGTCATCATGTTGTCCTCATTCTGTCCTTGTTCTTCTACTGAATATATTTGCAGGTTGTGTCCATTGAATTTCATGTTCCACATGCTCAAGGCACAGTTCTACATAATTTTCATGTTTTTATTCATTTTATGACCTATATCACATTTGAAGTATTTTTTATTGAAAAATTGTTGGAGAGTGTGTAAGGAGAGCCTAGTGTCATACTCACGTGTACACGTGTCAATTGCCACAAGGCTTGCATCTTTCTAGTCAGTCCAAACTGCTAAGCCTGTCACCATGGTTGAAGGGTCTACTTGCTCATTGTAATCCCACACAGTAAAATGTTAAACCGGTAGTGTGGAAATACTATGGATTCAAAACTAAAGAACAACAAGGAGATGAGGTTACTGTCTTGGGTGTTGTTTCTTAACAAAATGTAAAGTAAAGTGATTCTAGTATATTGTAGTGCCATTTTAACATGTTTAAGTATATTTTGATGATAATTGGGATAATATTGTGAATCGCAATTATTTTGGCCAGAATAATTGTAACACTAAGTGTTCATATTGCCTCATGTGTAGGTGGAAGTGTCCAACATCCCAAGAGGAAGACATAACTCAGAGTATTTAGCTATTGAACTGATAATAATAAATTGGTTGTTGGTTTTGCTAAGAAATGGGTGATGGAGAAATATCTGGTAAAGGGCTTAATATGTTACTGCATGTTTACTATATACTGTAGCTGGCCTACAGAATAATGCACCACTTTTATTCAGATTTGATAGGGGAGGCTTAAAAATAAAAAGTTAAGAAGTTAAACCTTGTCAGAGATTGCTGTTTGACATGTGATGATGCTGATTCACAGCCTTGTTTTAAGCTAATATTATAAGTGGCATCCATGTCAGACATGTGTCTGGTATATTTTGATGGCAAACAGCAGGAATATCGGACATGCTGCTAATATTTGATCATGAGGGGGCTCCAGGCAGTACGCTGTGTGGGACACTGTAGAAATCGACTTATTTATCTCGACTTGTAATAATTGATTGAGGCCATCCAGATTAGCATAATACCGCTACTAGCTGTCATTTCTTGTATTTCTGAATTATTCATTTATTCATACATAGTATTCCAAGGGTACAAATGACTTATTATTGTGCAGGAATACTTCATAATTCAACATTTTCAAATTTTACCTAAAGGAAAAATTAAGCAGTATATAAACAACATTTTTTTTATAAAAAAAAACATACATACTGTATATATGCAGCATTATTTACAGTAAATAAATATAAAAATGCAAAAATATAAACTGTAAAATCAAGAAAAAACACAGTTCAGAAATGAGTAATGAGTCACCCACTGTCTTGTTTCTTTGCTCACAGGAAGGAGTAGAGGTGAGGGTGGCAAGGATCTTCAACACATTTGGTTCCCGAATGCACATGAATGATGGACGGGTTGTCAGTAACTTCATCCTGCAGGCTCTACAGGGAGAACCTCTAACTGTACGCATTTTAAGTTTGTACTGTTAATGTGCTCTCACCTCATTTATTAGATGCTTGAGACAAACCTACTTTAGGCTGTTTTTTTTCCAGTACTAGCAGTGTAAAGATGTGCACACTGACTTAGCCTCAGAGAGATGGTGATTGATTACTGTTTTTGTATGTTTCTTAAATCATATAAGAGAATATAAAAAAACCTTAAACATGATTTCAACTAAGGAGTCAGACACTTCAGTGTCCCTAATCTGGATACAAGTCTGCTTCATATTGTGACTTATATGAAATATTTTTTTAAATATCAAAAGACACCAATTCCACTTGCTCATAATAAAAAGTATAGTAAAAATGTATTGTTTGACACATGGTAACAGATATTCACCTTTGGTATGTGCATCATGCAGAAAGATAATCAGTTTTCTGTTGTTCTAGGTGTATGGTAGTGGTTCCCAAACAAGAGCCTTTCAGTATGTAAGGTAAGTTTACTAAATTAAACCTGTTCTTATGTCACTGCAATGCTTCATTCTTCTCTTCAATCTGGACCAAAATATTTGTCATAGAAAATGTTTAACTCTACCCACCATTTAGGGAACAATGTAACAATACATTTACAATGAATGAATCATGTTAATATTACATAAATGATAACAATCAAAGTGCAGTGTCATTAAATAGTATGTGTAGTGTTAGTAGTTACTTATAGGTATTTAATTAAATTCGTGGCCACTGAGACAGACCTCAGAGGTATGTGTGGATGTTGATGCTTTCATGGACTCTCATGGAAATTTGCCATAAGGTGGAGGGATACTGCTTTGTATTGGACTTTGGAGTTTATTAGTAAATACCACCATGATATTTATTAAATTAACATCGTTAACATGCGCATTAATTTCTCCCTGGAAGAGCAGGAATACAGTTTGTATATCTGGCAGGTTAAAGGAGTATTGGTTTCTGTGCAGGTGATAATGAGATTAATTTGATCAGTTTGAAGAAGAGAGATCAGAGACACAGAGTATTTGAAGCTCTCTTATCTCTGCGAAACATTCACCTGCTGCCCTATATGACTTTAGTGTTGTGTAAGCAGTGAAAAGCCAAGGTCTTCGGGTAAACTCTCCTTTAAGTGAAAACCTGAAATTACTCTGGTAAACTCACATCCGTAGCCTCCCTTCCCCACAGTCATATCTGCTCATTGTCTGTCAAATTTTAATAATCAAAGTCAGTAGCATTCGGTTACACTTTGCTGTTAATCATTTTTAATGACTTTAATGTAATTAGACCACATGCAGTGCCCATAAACAGTCTTCTCACATGGAATCACATGGACTTATTATTTTTATGTAACTGGGATTTTTTTTCTTCTGACTGATCAACAGAGAAAAATATGAAAACAAATCTCAGCAAATTAATTGACCACAAATATAAAACACGTAGGACCTTCAGAATCAGACATTCAAGGGCAAAAAACGCCATTTGTTCCTCTTCATGGATAGCTGATAGTGAAACTGGGGGTTTTGATCAATTGTGAGGGCCCTGTCATATGTCTCTTATGTACCATACAGTGACATGCTTCCCCAAATCTATTCAAAACACAATATATTGACAGTATAAGTCAAGATTTGTGTGATATGAACAGCTTTGTACAGAGATTTAGCTTCATTAAGGGGAACCAGAAGAAAATGAACTGATACATTTGTAGAAATGGCAGCTAATCTTTCCTGTGAGACGGATTAGTGACTGATGTTAAAAACTCTTCAGAAATGTGTGGATTTCCCTTTATACAGAGGGCTCGAGGAATGGATATTATTTTCCCTAGAGTTTTGTGTCACATATTTTACACTTGTTGTTCCTATTGCAATGTGTTGGTCCGAGTTTTCATGCAGCCTGCTTATTTGCACTTTTAGAAAAAGTCGACTTTGAAGTTTTATCACATGGAAAATGTTTATATTTGTGTCCTACTGCTTCAATGCTCACCAGCTCAAAACAGCCACAACCTTTCAATCTCCTATGGAGAACTCATACCCTTTAAGCCCATTACCTTTTGATCTGGCCATAGAGCCACTACAAATTGCATTCCCGTAGCTGCAAGGATACTTCCGGGATTTGGAGGAAGGGAGTCGAACGTCAAGTGTCCCTTCATGTGGACGATCTTTTGCTTTTCATATCAACTACAGATTCCTCCCAACTCCCTATGCTGTCATTACTCACCCAATTCAGCTAGGCTCAGTTATATCATACTACATGTGGAAGGGCTACCTTCTGTAAGTAATACAATCCGTACAAGCTTATCAAGTCATAAAACATTACAACCCACTCACACTTTGGCAATAACAAGTGATTAATGCATACTAACATAATACCAAAATTGCTTCAGAATCTTACTTGTGCCACCTTAAACAGCCAACGGTGTTATTATTAATGATTAAGAATGTAATACAATTTTTCTTGACAGCAAAATCTATAATGACTTGAGTGAACTTTGGACAAAATTATCAGTTTCTTACATAGTGAAAATTCCAACATGTTTTAGTTAAATGAGGAGTGTTTCTTTGAAATCACACTTTCCGATAACCATGTCTGTTTGCTGTGGGCTTTCCGAGTGCTATTAGGGCTAGTAAATATCAGGTTGGAATAATTTTGGGAAACAGGCTTATAGTAAAGGTGTGAGAGGAAAAGATAACGGGCTGCTTTAAAACAAAATTTAAATCATGCAGTGTTTACAGTCTCTTAAATAACCAAGTAGAGATTCTGTGAAAACATGCAGTTTTCAAGGTTTCAGTACAGCACAGTATTTATTGAGTGAAATGCAGTTGTAAACCCTCTGTGCTATACAAAAAAAAGGTATAAAAAAGACTAGGATGAAAAATTTGTAAAACAAGACCATATGAAGAGATCATGTGCAAAAGAGAAAAAAAGCTATTCTTATAATGAATAAACCAACACCAGTTTGACTGATATTGTTGAACAGTTGTTCAGCCCACTGCATATGCACATTAGTGTACCCCGCCCCCGTGGTCCCATGGACTTCATGTGGCCCCTGGGACAAATTAACAGCAGGTTCTGTTTCATAGCATTTGTTTATATATGCTAGATATGCAATTTTGTGTCAGGCCTGGTATTTTTGTTTGCAAATTGAAAATGCACATTAAAGCAGGTGGATGGAAACACACTTTGATTCTGGGCCACGCAGGTTCCATGCTTGTTTTTGATGTGACCAGTCAAGATGCTTTTCTCCAGCCATAGCTTCTGTTGAGCAATACAACCCTGTAAACTTTGACCAGTTTCCTGTGGCGTGTCTACTAAGGCCTGCAGCAGTTGGACTAGCCCCTCTGTCAGGACATGTCTTCTTTGCGACTTGCATGTTGCTTTTTCAATTTGAAAACCAGCTTGCTCCTAGAAGGACAGTTGATGGTATTGTTTCTGAGTATCAGTCAAAATAGTTGCCATTCTTGCTATCTTCCCCTCTAGTGTACTTGAATGAGTTGCTGGTGACCTTGGCGTAATTGTTAGTCTTTGTTTAAAACAGCTAATTTTCTGTTTCATGCATTCTTACCATTAACTGCCTACTGAGGCCTTGGTTGAAACGACAAATCTGTATGGAGGCCAGATTGACAAAAGAAGAAACAAAATGCTGTCTCGGATAACTCTTCCTTTTAGGATTCTTTTAATTGCTCCTCTGTATAAAGCTTACAAAAACAGCTGTAGGAATTAGAAATTGGCAACTATGAGTCATTAACGTTCCTGGCGTCTACAATCTACAGTTCTCTAAATGTGATGAGAATATTCACAAAAGCCAGACAGGGGTTATTGTTTTTAGCTTCATCATTACTCAACTGATCCTGGCCCAGTTTCTGTCACATCATTGTTGTTTCCCAGCCATTCCAAAGCCAGTCTTCAGCATGTGGTCTTAGACTCCAGTTTCTGTCTATCAAGTTCCACCGCAGGAAAAGGAGGAGAGAGGTTGTCACAGGTCCCACACACTAACACTACCTGGAGAGATGTTAGAAATGCATTGCAGCAAACTTATTCTACTGCAACAAGTGCTTCTCTAAACCCATTCACTTCATGAGTAATATAGATATAGATATACACAATAGAGCCTCCTGTGTGTTAAGGACTTTTATGCAGTAGTGTTTACAGTGACTTCATATTAATGTGACATTTTTATTGAGATACCCAGTGTAACAGTGAAATGAGATATATGGTAAAGTGAATACATTCCATTAAGTAGATCTAGTCTAATAGTCTAATGTTAAAACGAGTTTCCCATAATTATATATTTTCCATCCCCCTTCTTTAGTGCCACTGTTCTGTCACTTTTGTGAGTAATGCTGAGAGAGGCAGAGTAATAAGTTATATTACATTAGGAAGATGAGAGAAGTTGTTTTTCACTCTGTCCTTCAGGGCCTGAGTTCTGCTCTTCTTATTTAATGGATGTTGGTTGCACTAAAATCAATGTTCCTTTTGCTGTGATAGGTCAAGAATATTGATAAGTGAGGTATGTTGGAGAGAAAAGGTGATTCAGCCTTCTTCTAGAACTAGGAGAGGTATTATGGTTTTCTCTCTGATGAAAAGTGAGTCAGTTATATTCACCATAAATCTATTGACCCCTTAGTACTGCCATTGTTGATGGTTTATCCAGGTCAGGGACATGGTGGAAACTGGGCAGGCAGAACAATTCAGCCTGCCTGTTACTCTTTGGCATGTAATCCTAAAGGAACCCTATGAAATGTTTGACCAGGGCTGTTAGAGTTTTTATGAGTGTGTCAGTTGTTTTGTTTTGTCACGATTCACATCCTACCAGTGGTTTCAAAATATTCCCTTGATGGACAAACATAGCCATGTGCCAAGGCAGTGAGGAAGAAGACTGTTATCAAGCATATAAACAAACAAGGATGTAAACCAAAAAAAAGCCTTGCAAATGTTATTTTTTATTAGGAAGGGAATGCATTCACCTTAACTAAAATAGATGAATTCAGATGCTACAAAATCTTGTCAAGATTACAACATGACATCTGTCATGCTAGAATCCATAATTTTAAACTATCCCTTTTACTACTTATTTGTACTAAACATTTTTGTTCTTGTATTCGTATGCATACATACAGTCTAATACAGCCATGTATTAAATACTATTAATGAACATAAAGGTCATAATGTTCAGTTTTTGTTCAAATGTTTTATGGAGTATTTTACTTTAGGATCATTTTGGATAAGGATAGGTGTTACCTCACAGATATGAATGGGATGGACATAACAAATATGAATATATCATGTATAAATGCATGAATGCAAATTTGACATTTGGGAGAATGTAGAGCTGACTGATATTGTTGCTTAAGATGATATTTTTTATAGTAAACCTGCAACCACTATTCCCTGACCTGTGGTAGGTGAGGTAGCCCGTCACATCATTATATCTGTTTGCATGTGCCTGCTAACGTCGAGGTCTAATTCATATTGACAGAATTGTACTAATGAAGTAAGTGTGTGTGTGTGTGTGTGTGTGTGTGTGTGTGTGTGTGTGTGTGTGTGTGTGTGTGTGTGTGTGTGTGTGTGTGTGTGTGTGTGTGTGTGTGTGTGTGTGTGTGTGTGTGTGTGTGTGTGTGTGTGTGTGTGTGTGTGTGTGTGTGCGCCACATGTGGTTCAAACGCTGGGAAAACAAGGCCAGATGGAATATTTAATTAGTGTTTATTTAGATTTCTCCACCAGGCTATAATTACGGAGTATATGTATCATCAGTCATTTACGAATGTTGTTGTAAAAATGAAGGTCTAAAAACAAAGATTTATGAAAATGATTTCATAATTATTATTTTAAGTTTTAGCCATGCTACTAACATGGCTCTAAGGATGACAGACATTTGTAGACTTACGGTCCCCAGAGGATGAGTCTTACTGGCTTTCATATCTTCTGACTGCACCAACATGAGGTTTACACTTTTTGCTTTTAGTGACATGTCTTAACAACTATTGGATGAATTTTCAAATTTAGAGACATTCATGTTCCAATTTATAATGAATTGCAATACCTTTGGTGATCCCTTGGTTTAATGTGTCCAATACTGTTGTTTATGTCCAAATACCCCCTAAACTAATGCCAGCTCATCTGCCTTAGCTATATTTTGTTAGTATTAATAAGCAAATGTTAGCATGCTACCATTTTAAACTAAGGTGAACATGGAGGGAAATTTACCTGCTAAAGATCAGCATGTTAGCATTGTAATTGTGAGCATGTTAGCATGCTGAGATTAGCATTTGAGCTCAAAACAGCACTGTGCATTTGTACAGCTCCACTGATCACCTGGCATGGTTGCAGACTCTTAGCCCTGTTTGGCTCTTGTAGTGATGTATGTATGCCCTTGAATTATTGTTGTGGTTTATGTTCATTTGTGGTGCGATGTAAACCCAGCGATGTATAGTTGTGTGCATGACACAATAAACCGTTAAGTTTTCTAACTAGCAACACTGTAAGAAAATGTAAGAGGGTTTATAGTGTTGAGCTGGAGAAAATAAAAAGTCTACATGGTGAAGCTGACCTGCCTCACCTGGCCTTGGAACGTTTTGTTCCACTATGATGATGTTCTAAACACAAAAGCAATATAGAAACAATTGTGTCCCTACGTCAGCTGGTAAACTTCTAATATGTTATTCATAGAATATACAGTCCATAATATTCTCTTAAACACATCTCTGTGGGGAAAGTTCAATCTCTCTTCTGCTTTTGTGTCTAAATTGTTGTCCAGCGATCTGGTGAATGGCCTTGTGTTGTTGATGAACAGCAACATCAGCAGTCCAGTCAATCTGGTGAGTTCATCATACTCAGCTGTTTGACACATTTGAAATAGAAAACAAATTCCACATAGGCAAACAATTTGTCTCCTGATGTGACCGAAGTTTATGAAATCTATTTGCAGGGGAACCCAGAGGAACACACCATATTGGAGTTCGCTCAACTCATCAAAAGTCTCGTCGGTCAGTCTTCAAGATACTTTTCATTCTATTAATCTGTACAAACTCTTGACCTTTGTCATACATCGCAATCCTTGCCTGCTTATCTCTTACTCTCCCTCTCCCACTTTACTTTTGTAATAAATATTCATAGGTATAATCATAGGTAAATTCTACACACTGTTCCTTTAAGGCGGAGTTATGCTTCTGTGTCATAGTAGTCCTGGCATAGAAATGGATCCATTTCCTAGTGTAGCATTTAACATCTTTATTGTTGTAGCAAAGGATGTGTCCTATGTTATCAGGCCGTACGTTTTGTTTATTATACTGCTTATACTACTCTAATGAATAATCTCTACCAACATCAGAAACATGTCGGAGAAAAAGAAAGCAGCTTAACTGAACAATCACAGCTGTGGTGGGTTAATCTGACATCTCCATAGCCAGAACATGTAGTCACATTTTTGCACATTAGCTCCAGTAGTAGAGTTAGTGCACCTACACATGAAGCCACCACAACATTGTGACACAGAGGCATCAGTCTGCGGTGACTCATCTCATCAGCAGCGTTAAAAGCAGAAGTAAGGAGAAGAATAACCGTATGTCCTTCTCTCTGTACACTTGTGACTGTCCATGAACACACACACACGCAGTGAGCCGAAGTCAGATCCAGTTCCTTCCAGAGGCACAGGATGACCCACAGAGGAGAAGACCCGACATCCGGAAAGCCAAGATGATGCTTGGCTGGGAGCCGGTGGTATGTGTGACGCACGACAGACTCTCTTCTCAAATGGTCAGCTTCTCACACACTGTCCTGCAAACCTACTGCAACAGTGCTGCAACCAGTAACACCAACTGATCAGGGTCTGGTCATGATAATGGGCATTCAAAGCCGTCATTATTGGCGAGCTAAATGAGTAAAAGCATTACATTGTTCAGCTGTGTTTGGAGAGCAGCCTCCATCAGTAACTCATCATTAACAGTAGACAACCTGACTGCCTTATATATTAACAGCTAATATCTGACATCTTATCCTGTCAGTGTATCGTCAGTGTGTTGTGTCCTGTGTTGACAGGTGCCCCTGGAGGAAGGCTTGAACAAAACTATCCAATACTTCAGCAGGGAACTAGAGCACCAGGCCAACAACCAGTACATCCCAAAACCTAAAGCCGCCCGCATGAAGAAAGGAAGACCCAGACACAACTGAAGTGTGGTTGACCACCACAGACTCAAAACACAGAAGGATGTTAAGACTCCTCCGAGGACCCTTGAAGACTCATTCTCTCTGAAATACACTGTTTGAGTAGGGCACTCTGGGATATGGTGTCTTTTTTTGAGAAGCAGAGAAAAACGTTCTCTTTAAAAAAAAAAAAAGGACAGTGTTGCTTTGCATTGGAGTTGCAGCTGCACTGCGGGGTAAGGGCTTCCTCGCTGAAGCTTGAATGGACAAGCCTGAATCAAAAACAGAAATTTGAGGCAAGAAATCTTTGAAACCCAGCCTGCCTTTTTTTGTTTTGGCGAATTTGTGCTTTTGCTATTTAAACGGCAGACATGACAGTCTGGCAAACGGCTCGTACTGTGCATCAGTGCTTCGTGTTTATTTTATCAGTTTCATGGTGTTTTGTCTCCGGAGGTGAGCTACCTGACTTTGTTTTTCCACTGGATGTTTTGTCCTCTTACTCAGTGGTGTGCCAGCAACCTGTTGGCTGTTCATGCAGAGCACTGCAGGACTGGCAAATCTTCTAGAAAGACTGTTACAGCATCACTACTCGTTTATCATTGTGTTCTACTTTGTGAAATCTCATGTCAGGATGTCCATTATCAATTTCAAATGAAGATGTTATTTTAATAAAATATTTCCAATATTCTGTGTATGATATAATTGATAATTGTGTGAGAGAGAGAGAGAAGTGGAAGTGAACAAGCAGGGGAGAGTATGAAACCAGATCTTTATTTACAATAATCTCTTGATAAGAAAAGTGCCAAGATGAATATATGGGGAGAAAAGGTTGAGAGTGGATTATACTGGTGGGCGTATCAAATGAAAACAAAGAAGTCAGCAGCTGTGAAGTAGTTGGATGTTGACAGCTGCATGGTAGGTGTGAAACTATAACAGCTTGTGTTCTCTCAAACAGAAGGCAGACTTACTAAAACAAAACAAACCCTTTGACCATTCACAGAAGCATTGACCTCTGTGTGTTTGTGACTGAAGTTAATAGTAATCGTAGTTGACATTAGCTCCATGTCTGTAAGAACCAGGGTCACGCGGGCCGGTGGGGGAGTTTTCATCATAGTGGTGCTGACGTCCCTGGTCAGTGGAGCGAGCCATGTCCATCCAGTATGACAGGTCAGTCTCCAGCCTCTGGTGAGGAAAAATACACCACAGGCTTGACTCATTAAGAAACTCCGCCTCAACAAATCTCAAGCTAACAGACACAGAGGCAGCTGATAAGGTGTCCACTGAGACTGTCAGCAGACATGCATGAAAGGCAAACGTTGAAAAGGCCAATGCTTTCACAGCATTGGCCTTTTAAGGAAGCAACAGCAAATGGCATACAAAGACTGCTGCACTGGCTGAAACGAAAAGGCTGTCAGCTGTCAAAAGTGGTTGTGGCAGGGGGGTTATATTGTGCACTCTGCTGCCTTTTTATCTGTTCTTACGATCTGTTCCCTCCATTCCTCACTGTCCCTGGTGAATTCATGACAGTCACTGACCTGAAAAAAAACTGAACCGGCCTCTGTAAGTGGGGTTATATTTGTTTGCGAGAGAAGGGATTCATGTGTTCCAGCTCTGTACTATTCAGTCAGACAGCGACAATTGAGAGGATAACTGTTCTTTTCTCGAAAAGACCATCTTTTAGATCAGACTACCTTGTCATTCCACATTTTTATTCCCCACATATCTGCGATAGAAGATTTTTTAAGATACAGACTACTAAAGTTTTAATCGCGTTGTTTATCTGTTTCATATTTATGTCAATAAAATGAAATATGACTAAAGAAGCAACAGTCACAACATTAACACATCAAAGAGAAAGAAACAGAGATATTCCATCATCATCCTGAGCTATCATTTATTATAGGAGTTTAACACTAAAACGCTCATTGGAGTAGGTGGCTGTGGGTTCATCAGCTCTGATTGGCAGTGGTGTTGCAATTGTCAACAAGTGTAAATTAATATAAATTTATTAATAATAAATTAATAATCCTGATTGGTGCACAAAAGTACTGTATGTGACAACACATTTTATACGTTGCTCACAGTAAGACGCTAAGAAAATAGGTTTTCAGGGTCTTTAGTGATCTTAAATCTAAACACAACATTGCACTTGCGTTGCTGAAGGGCCATTGAAAGGGTACCTTCACAGATTTTCCAAATCAACTTACTTTTCACAGTTAGTACTTTTCAGTTGATATATTATCAAGACCAACAAACAACACAAGGTGCGCTACGGTAAGTCTAGGAACCAGTGAATTTGGAGCTTGACTGGGAAAAAAGTGTAATTCTTGGCCTCTGTTGCTTCTATGTGGACTGTTCTTTTTAATCCATCTCTCAACTTTTATGTAACACTAAACTGCTAAAGTGGTATTTTAAAGGATCAGTATGTAGAATTCAGTGGCACAGAGCAGTGAGCAGACTGCAACCAACTCGCCTCACCCTCCCCTTCCAAACATGCAGGATAAAGTACGGTGGCCACAATACTCAAACCTTAAAGAGCTTTAGAGCCAGTGTTTGGTTTGTCTGTTCTGGGCTACTGTAGAAACAAGTTCAACATGGCGGCCTCTGTAGAAGAGAACCCACTCCCTCTGTAGATACAAATAGCTCATTCTAAGGTAACAAAAACACAAAATACACTTCTTATTTTTAGCTAATTAATTAATTGATTAAAACATACATATGAATATGATTCCATTTCTGCCAATCGATCCGTCTAAATATTACACACTAGACCTTTAACATACAAGTGAACCCTGTCACATTAGGTTGTGAAAACAAAAATATGGGTAGCAAATAATCTGAAGAATTTCTGGTCAGTTTGCTGTTGAGAGAAGGCAAACTAAACAAGTTCTTGATACGAATCTGGTGAGAGAAATGTTTCTGCTGTGAAGATGTTCTTTACTTCAAACCCCAATGTAAGAGTCATTCCTTAAAAGGTGGTAAACCTATGTGCTGTTTTTGTTGTGCAGATCAGTTTTGTTCAGTATAATACTTGTCAGTCTCCAGTGGAGCTGTAGACAGCTGTCTACAGCCCCACTGACTTTGGCCCAGACTGATATCTGTTTCTGTTGTATTGGAAGATTTCAGAACAGACGCAACCCACCTGCTCATCGAACCCCATGTACATAAACTGCATAATCCACTGCTGTACATCTGGTCTGCTGCGATCCCAGATGTTCCTCTTGGTTCTGCTCAGTTTTGCCAGAAACTCTTGAGCCTTGGAAGGAGAGACAGCGACAGAGGACTTTGAGGGGGCAGTACCAGCTCCTGCCACTGGATGGAAGCACAATAGGACAACAGAATGAAATGGCATTTTCAAACAGGAATTGGTCTTTGTATCAGCAGTATGATATTACCAATAAGAAAAATATTACCATCTCTTTTCCTTAAGAACTTGTGCAGGCTGCTGTCACTGGATACATCTGTCAAGGAGAGTCAACAGAGAGATAATGAGCTGCAGTATGATACCCCATTCCTCATGACATGACATGAGTCTTAATACATAAAACACAATTGAATCAGCTCATTTGTAATGACGCACAATGTTTATTTTTGGTGTAAACTGTAAGTTTTTGCCAGTTATGGTAAAGCAGAATAGAAGTGAAGTTTATTTTAATGATCTTTAAGACCAACGCTACACTTCTAAAAGATGTAAAAGGCTCAAAATTCATACAGCTCATCAAAACGCCAGCTTTATTTTCTTAGTCAAAGCTACATCAAACCTGAATTTTATTTTTTCTGATTATTCCACTGGCACTACAGCAGATTTTCTAAATAGGTTTTTATTTAGCACTCCCCCCCATTATCTAAACTAGTTTCATGGAGGACTTTGTTCTCAGTTGTCATTATAGATGCAAATGTCAAAGTGAAGCATTGAGTGTGATTAAAGGAGAAGTTTCCAACACACATCCAATGAAACTAGTTAATGGCCAATTTGCATGTAAATATATTTGCTACAGCGACTTCCTTCCTGCTGCTCCTCTCTCCCATTGGAGCAATGGAGCTATACTGTGTGTGGCGAATATTCATAAAGTGTGCACTAATGAGATATCTTGTACCTCTCTGCACACAGCCAGTTCAGTCAGATTACCTTCCACAATACATGTAGGGAGTGCACTGAAGTCCCTCCTTACATCTGAGACACATTTCCTTTAGTCTTGGAGGGTTTCATTAATCTGTTTTTTGAAAAGCTAAAAACCACAGAACACCATGTACCTAAGAATATGCAGAGAAATCCAGTCCATATGTTACGGTGGACTCCAGCTTGGCTTCAGCCCGAAAAATGTGCACTGTGTGGTAAGAAGTGGATTGCTGCTGTTGGAGAAAATTGTTTGCATGTGTTTTTTCTCCAGTATGTGTTGCAAATGAGCTACGAACAGCACATTGCTGTGCTTTCACAATTGTGCAGCAGAAATGTAGATTATACTGATTTAAATGATGTTCTGTTACACTGCTCTCATCTATTAAGTCTATATTTTCTCTTCATTGTATTTTCATTTTCCTTATCAAAGTTATTTTAAGTCTATATATGACAGAAAGAGAAAAGAAGACAGTAACAGAGAAAATTGCCAGTCTCATATTTATTTTCTAATGCCTGCTTTTTCCTTTTGATGCTTCCTCAGAGTGACCATTCTCTTAAATTACATCCCACTTGCTCTGACATGCAGTAATTGATCTTTCTACCTGCCAATGCTACCACTAAACTACCTCTAAAATCTAGAGATAAGTACTAGACCAGATGGCGAAGGACAGACAAAGGTAGACCAAAGAATGTGACCTTTTAGAAGCAGTTAAATCATTAGTAAAGCAGACGTTTAGACAAAGAAAAGAACAGGATTGAGCTCACCTCTAAGAGCCAACAGTGTCAGCAATACCGCTAGCCCCATTACCCTCCAACAGAGCTGCTGGGATGCCATCTTGTACCCACTCAGTCTTTACAGAGCTGCTTAAAGGCAACAACTGTGCATAAACTACTGCACAACCAGAGGGAAGAGTGGGCGTCAACCCAGACTTTCCAAGTTGAAACTGGCCTATGGAGATGGAATGTCGTTTACCTCCTTGCCTGCAGAAACAAGACTGCAACTGGGAGCTTTTCCGCTCTTAAATGAATTTTCATGTGTGTCCCAGGTATTTTTCCATATCCCATACACACAGCACATGAACAGCAGTGACGGAGAAGAAAGAAAAAGCAGAGTTCTAAGGTAACTGAATGAGGTTTGTCACGTAGGTTTCCTTTGTTAAAAGATATACAAGATTTCAGAATAGTGTAACATGCAATTTCTGAAGCAAGTAACATAACATAAATACTGTGCTTTCATCTGACAAAATTTTTTTTCAACTATCTGAAGTTAATTTCTGGTAACCATGTGCAACTGTGCACAGTAAATCAAACTCACAAACATTTTTATGCATATCGACGGTGTCTTTGCAATATTTATTACAGCAGCTTTTTCTGACACTACGCTAAAATAGCTGAGGAGAAATCTGGGCAGCGGTAAGACCTTCTTGAAATCAATTTCAACAGTTACTCAGTGACCAACAGTGAAATACCTGAGGATGTCTTTGCTGTTGTTGAAAACATCAATTCTGTTTACTGGCTATATGAGAGGCAGAGTGGGTGTCTTGAGTCCCATTGTCATCCAAGAATATGATCAAAAGGGCCTACAGTAATTACTGCAGTGTGATGCTGCAGATAAAATTAGAATGCAGCATGACTTTGAAATATTTTTGTCTAACTGCATGTACTGCTCTACAGTTTAAGCCCCAGCTGAACCTCCCTTAGGGTTATTGATTAAACACCTTTGGCCCAGGGAGGTTATCCTCTTCCCCGCGGTGCTTCATTTCAACATGGTGTGTCCTTTATGTTGCCTTTACCTTTTGATCATCCTAGAACTGTACAATCTTTCAAATTTTTTCAATTTGACTTCTGTTCTCACATAGTTTCCAGCAAAGATGGTGCTTTTTCTAGCTTTTCTGGTTTCCCAGTTTCCTTTGGCCCACTGGCTTCACCTGTGCTTTCCCACTCAGCCCATAGACTTTACTTTGAGATGATGTTATGCACATTAAAATATATTTTCTAGGCTTTTTACAAATATAAAACTTCTAAAGGGAAAATGTTTTTTATTTATTTGATTTTTTTCATTGGAGTGCTGTGCGTGGCCAATAGGACAAATTAGCAGCATTATGGATCCCACGGCTCATGGCAAGACACGCCATGAATAGCATTCAAGTGCTAGGATTAACAGGCGTCCAAGCTCACTTGAGTGGGATATGTTTTCTGACAGAAAGGCTTTCTAACACGTGGTTAACAAGGTGAAAACGTCAGTTTTAACCCAAACCATGATATTTTACTAAACCTAAGTGGTTTTGTTAAAATCCAATTAAACTGCAACTGAAAACTGTAGACAAGTCTTAAAAACTGTCTTACAGAGTCGAATCCGTCACCATGGAACAAGATCTGTATTTAACCCTTTCATCCACCACAATTTTCCTTGCTAGATTCTTAGTTTGTTACTTCTGTATATCACCTGGCGAACACAGGCACCTGGCCAGTTCTAGCGTTTGAATGCTACCCAGGGTGTATCTTGGCAATAAAGCAGTGGGATTCATAATTACATACATTGAGCATGAGTGTGGTCTATTTTATGAATTCAACTTTTCATTTTTATGGGGAAGATTGTGTTAGATTGTTGTTGTTGTGTGTCAGAGTGGGAAAGTGTTTGCTTTGGAACTACAAACAGTCTCTCTGTCTCTCACAAGTACAGCTGGAATGCAGGAAACCCAGAAGCTGGCAGGCGACTGCACTACTTTCATGATGTATTTTGGAACTAAGATGGAGAGACAAAGCAAAAGACAGAAAGAGAGAAGAAATGGAAGGTCATACATTTGTTCTTGCTTTCCTTATTTCATTGTTCAGGCTCTGCCATACATGGCTGCACTCTTTATGAAGCGTGCTTTTCGCCAACTGTGTGCTCTCTCACACAAACAGAATTTAAGTGTGCACTCACACTGGGTATTGGAAAGAAAAGAGGTCAGCTCAAATCTGCAGTGAATTGAATTGAACTGAACTGTCATGACTGGGGTGTTGTAAAGCTCAGTGAAAGGCACAAACCTCTGTTCAGAGTGCAGGCGTGCCTATAGACATGATTTCCCCTGTGTTTTTATTCATCAGATACCTCTGAGAAGGAGCAGTCCTTGGCTTCTACCTCTACAGTGTTTTTATGAAAGGCTCCCTGTCCTCAAGCACACATTTAGATGAAAAACAAAAATACTAAAGGAAAAAACAGATATCTGTGGATTCATGAGATATGAATACAGATTTTCTGAGTGCGAGATTCAAAAATCTTTGCTTGAATGCGTGAAAACACATTGTGGATACACACACACACACACACACACACACACACACACACACACACACACACACACACAAACACACAAACACACACACACACACACGCTCTCTCTCATATATGTCCCTCGGGGGCCATTTGTAATTCTTCAGCCGTGGAGCAGATTGGAGTAAGAGAGGAGAATGACAATGAGGAGATGAAAAACATGAGGGGCAGAGAGAACATGGTGCTTCCGACAGGATGATTTTCATCGCTGCAAAATCATCATATGACATCCAGTTTGAGCTTGCCCATTCAAATGTACCCCACACTGTGGTGGAGAGATTCTGGCTTTCTTTTTATTTTGCCCCTCAAAACCATACAATGCGCCAGATCACTCTCTTACAACGACACAGCAGAATAAAGCACCCCTGTCATATATGTCCATGCGCTAACTCTCCTTCCATCTCCCCCTCCTCTTCTCCATGACACCTTGACTTGACAGTCCTGTGTTGTGACCTGAGTCAGATTTACTGCAGTGTCTGACACTTTTGCACACAGACATCCCAGATGCCTCTCAAAGCTCACACAAACTTTTTAAGGAGCAAAACCCCAAAGAGAAATCCGACTGCAGTAAAAGCTTTTTATTACCTAAAAGATGAAGAAGACATTTAGGTTTTTAGTTTCAGCTCAGTTTTCTTTAACAGCTCAATAAAACACACTAAATATTGTTTTATTACCTTGACATGGACATATTCTTAAGTAAAGGAACATAAGTATTGCTGGCAAAATACAGTCAGTTGCCAATTTATCAGACACACCCAGCTCAAACCAATGCAGTCTAATACACAACAGTCCGGCTTCAAAATGATCTTACAGTTAAAGGTGCAGTGTGTAATATTTACGTCTATTTACACATAACCCATAAAAGATTTAAAATGGTAAACATTTCCTTATTTGGTATTCCTTTTTATATTTTTTTGTGTCAAAAGGAAGGGTTACCACTTCAGCACTTTTCTCCAGATTGGGTTTAAGAAATTCAAAAGAAAAGAGAAAAAAATGGGGATAAAATGCAATTATTGTTTTTATACATACAAAATAACAACAGCCCAAAGGTTAAAATGTCTCCAAGCCTGTTTATCGTCTAATCTGTAAACATCTGAACACATGTTAAAGCTTCGACCCACCCTCAGACTCCTAAATCTGCACCCTCTCTCTCCTCTGCCTCACTCCTCAGGCTGCGGGTCAGACTCGGGACCATCGTAGCCCAGCTCGTTGGCAATGGGGAAGTGAGCCCAGAAGGTGCGAGCCAGGTCCTGCATCCCCTCGTGAGCTGCCTGAGCCCGCAGCTCCTCCAACCACCCGAAAAAGTCTGACGACCACAGGCCCCAGTAGGGTGGGCTTCGTTTCTGCCTCTCTTCCCTCCTGCTGGCTGCATCGCTCTCCTCTGCTCCTGTCAGAGGAGACAGACACAGAAAGAGGTGTGAAATAATGTTCACACCTCGCCCATCATGTCAAAATGACTGTATGTTACGATGTCAGAGTCTGTTCATGTGTAATGCCCTGAGCTGCTGACACACCTGTAGGATGCAGGAAGCCGAGCAGAAGGGAGCAGAGCAGCACAGACGTACACAGAGCATGCATGTTCAACCGTAAGACAGGACACAAAGGGCTCGACCTGATGAAAGCATAAAAACAGGATGTGAAGTGTAATACTTTCAGAAAAAATACATGCAGGCTACAACATAACTGAAACGTATCTGTGAGGATGAAAAAAAGCTTCCATGTGTGTCAGGACTATCAAATATCATCTTCTGTCTTTTCTCACCTGATCAGCAGGAGGTTGTGCTCGTGCTCCTGTCCCTCGTCCTCCTCTCTCAGACTGATTTCAGGATGACGACTGCACCTCGATTAGAAATAGACAGGAAGGCGGACATGTTTGTCTTTCACATTATGCCTCTTTACACCTGCTTGTCTCCAAAGCACGTCAGCGAGGCTCTTTCACACCTCTCCTGTCCATTGGCTTTGTGGAGAGGAATATAACCTTTCTAATGTAAAAAAAAAAAAAGTGTCATTAAAATGTTTTTAGGCAATGGAGTGTGAAATAAATGAGAGGTCACATCTGGATCCCTCCACACATCCTAACTAATTATTTTTACTACAGTATATATTTAACTATGTTCTTGTCACAGCCATCAGGGGCTCAGCAGGAGATCTTTAGCCTTGGGCTGCTTGGACTAATATGGATTTATTTTTTCTTAAGGTGAAAAGAGGAGAGAAAATCAGAGGGAAGAGTGGAAATGTGGATGAGAAGAAGAATGTCCCAGATAGTTTTCACACCTGGTATCCAGACAGACTGTACCAACATTCAGCCACAGGGTGTAAAGGTAGTTATTTTTTCTGATTTCCATCCATCTATCTCTTCTGTGGGTGTTTGTTTCTCTCTGAGGACATCGGCAGAGGGAGGAGAACTTTGACTGAATCCATGCTGTGTCTGTCTAGTGTCAGAGGAAGAGTTGCAGTGCTTTGTCAACAGACTGGGTTAGTGTCAGCTTCTACACATATTTTTCTTGTTTTTAACAAGTACTGAAAGTACTGTCTCACCCCAAAACCCATTCTTTCTCACAGAAATAAATCTTTCAAAATGTCTCACAAATGTATAGTTAGATTTTTCTAAAGGTAAATAGATTCCGAAATTAGCTGGGCACTGTAGTTGTTTTAGCAAATGTTAGTCAAACAGGAGTAAATGGTGCATTTGTTAGAGACTTTTTTAAGCCACGGATTAATGCAGTTTCTTTTTTTAACCTTTATTCATCCAGGAAAGTCTCCGTGTACAATGATGCAAACGTATGATAACACATTGTCATGTGTAGGAATGTAAAAAGGGGGAGGGGTGAGGGACAAAAAGGTTTTCTGTTGCCCTCGATAATTGGTAATAACATGATCCATCCATTAATCCATATTCCTGACAACCTATTAAATCATGCAGAGATTTTTGGACAATGTTAAAACCAAGTTGAAGCTGTGTGAGAACCGTAGAATAATTAAGTCATCGTGAAAGTGGGCATATGCATCAGGCAGATTTTGGTGCTCTGGTGAATTTTTACAGCAGCAGGACATCCAGTGCATCATTGATGTGATTTGAATTGTTCTGGACAACAATGGAGGTATATGGCATTTGACATATATGGAGCAAAGCCTGCGAGCTAGTTTAGGCAGTCAACTCGAGCTGCACTGATATACACACATGACATGGCTCACTCCATAATCCCTAACCAAGTGCTCCCTTCCAATCTGGTTATCTATTTAAACTGCACAATTTCCCAGCTCTCCCTCTGCTCTGTCAATGCCGCTGTTGCCCTGCATCCGTATTGCTGCTGCTGCGCTGTTAGCCCCACCACCATCCCAGCATCCACCTGTAGGCTCCGACTGAGGGTTAAGGTATTTGCTCATCACTCCCCAATATCTCTATGTAAACATATCTGCGGGGAATGATGAGGTCAGAGCCTAGATGCCAAAATCTAAATATGCTATACTGATGTTATAAACATTTCAAACGTGAGTTGGCTGACTGAAATATATTTGAACACCATAAAACAAGATCAAGATTTTTCCTTCTCAGATTGTTTCATTTGAAGGATTTTTAAAGGGCTTGATTGGTAAAAGTATCCAATATTTAAAAAAAGAAAAACATATCAGAATAGATAAATACAGTTTTACTGTATGTAACAGAATATAACTATTTTGATAACTGATTCATAATTTCATCTATCTTGGCAGAAATGGAATATAATATTCACAGGTATGTTTTCATTTGTGTATAATCACCTCAATATAGAAAACTGTTGTATTTTCAGTAACTTCGAATGAACCGTTTTTATCTTCAGACGCCACAGATTCATTGATAATGAAATAAATTGTTAGTTGCAGCAATACAGAGGAATACGCTTTGACTGCACCTGAAATGTCTTCTTTAAAGGATAGTTTCATTGATGGTTTTGGTCTTTTGTGGTTACAGTAAGATGATACAGAACATCTCCATCTCTTATCTTTGAAGAAAGAAGCAACCTGGGGTTGAAAGAATATACGTAAATGTAATGAAAAAGACAAGATAAAAGCTTTTCCATTAGTAAAAAGCCGAGATTTCAGCTACAGGCCCTCAAGAAGAGAAAGTAATAGGCACTGATTAAGGTGGGGGTTTGAGGGGAAGAAAAGAGCAACATAGGGGAACCATTACCTTGTCAATGTCTGGTAACAACCAGGTATGCAGTAATGTTGCTGTATTGACGAGGCTTTCTTTGTTCCGCCATCCATACTCCTCCACTTACTGTTATCTGACTGTCACTCCTGTTTCTCTCCCTTTTGACTCGCAGTATCATCCTTAAACTACTTCCTTCATCTTGTTGCACGACACAGCACTCACTACAGCGCACACATTATAAAAACTGAACTCAACTTTTCTTTTTCTGCGTACGCCTGAGTGGTTTTTCAGTTTGCTACCAGCCTTGAGTCAAGCAGTGACAAAGGGGGGGTTTATCTGGAATCCAAACAAACATTTTGAGCTAACTTTCCTTGGAAAGGGAAAATAAAATCCTACCCTGAGGTCAGTCTGTATTTTGATGAATAAAGAAGCACACATCTGTTGCCTTAACGAATGTATTACAGTACTGGCGCAAGGAGCAAATTCTACAGAACAGTTGCTGCATAGGGTTTTCTTTGAGAAAAACACCTCAAATAGGCAGCTACACCTGAGAAACAAGGTAATAAAGAGGGGCGTGTCGGCTCTTGTTTCAATCCAGCATATTACAGGAAGATGACACACCCGAGGTCTTCTAATATTTACGACTAGACAGCCTAGAACCACTCTCACGTCAGAGTGCAGAAAGAATGCATTGCCCTCTTCTGAGTTATTCATTTTACGTATACATTACAGCAGCTGCAGTCGGTTTTTTTTTTTTTTTTTTTTTTACCACAAACGGTAATGTTAATGGTAATTTAGCCTGGTTTAGTTTGTGCAGTTGCTGCCTCTTGTGGCTAAATTAAAGCTTGTCCATTAGTTTGTAGGTGTATTTGGTTAGTTGGGCTACTTTTTTTTGGTGGAGAGAGTAGTTTTCTGGTCCTTTGTCCTGTTTGTGTCCGTATGTTTGTGGTTGAAGTTTGGTTAGTGGTGTATTGTGCATTTGGTTTAAGGCGTCTGTTTAGTTTTGTTAGAAGTGGGCTGAGTTATTGTTGTGGAATCACATCCATAGCTAAGTGGAGGTAACTACCATATATAACATTTGCTTTCCAGATGAATGACAGATGGATTTTTTGTTGGCCTCTGGTGGGAGAGCGTGTTCATTTTTGGATTAGTTTTGCCTCAGATTTGTTATGTGAAGTACCAGATGCCTTTTTGTTTGAAATGTGCCTGATGATTTTCAAGTTTACAAAGTGTGACTAACTAGCAGGCATTTGGTTACCTGAACTATGGCTCCCTGTTTATAAGTGCTGTGAAGTCCGGGAATTGGTTTTGTCACAGACACATTGTCTTGTGCTCCGCTGGCCATGACTCTAAGCTTTCAATTCCAAAAAATTATGATTTTAATAAACACTAAATTGGGACCAGAATTTGTTGATAGTATAATAAACTGTGCTGGAAGGCCCATGTTGACAGTCTCTGCTCTAGATTGCAACAGCAGAGGTATTTTTTTATGTAGGCTTAGGGTGTATGGAGTTGAGCAGAAGTTCATGTTGCTTTTCTACAGTGCAGTCCTGGAGAGCATTATAAGTTATGGGATAACAGCCTGGTACGGTAACCTGTCTGCACAGCTGGAATCTCAAATTGCTCGTCTGGTACACACTGCTATACAAATTATGGGGGTTTAAAAAATATTTATCCCTTTAAACTTCTCTTCTTTATAATCTTTATGAGCAGTCCATTATCAGACTGGCACAGAAAATAGTTTCTGATCCAACCCACATTCCCCTGAGATCCTCGACTCAAACAGGTAGTGTGGGATGTCGACCACGAGGGTTATGCAATATGTGGTTGTTGTCAGAAGGTGTGTGTAGGTGTGTGTGCTATGGGGCGTGTGGATACTGTTAATGTGAAGCTGTGTGTTGCTGAGATACTGATGTTTGTTTTTTGTTTTGTTTATTGTTTTTCCTTTAATTGTGGGTGTTTTTATCCTCTGTGGAACTGCAGGACCAAAAGTCAAAAACATGTATTCTATTCTATTCTAAATTATTGGACATATACTGTCATCTACTAACTTAAGATGGATTCAATGTTAAGTTGCCGTGCTTTTAGTTAATTTCCTCTTTTAATATCACAAAACAAACCAGTTAAGTTACAACTCCTGTGGTCTTCCCTCCTTGTTACTTTTTTATTGGATGACTGTGAGTTTTGAAATCCCTGAATGCAACATAAATTCAACTTTATGAGATACTGCTATAAATCAAAACTTTACGTTTTAAAATCCACAAACTCAAATTGCAATTGAATTAAATTTGCAAGAGACACAACTGATGCTGAGGTGTCTAAATATTCTGCTTTTGTTAAAGAGTTGTTTGAAACATCAAACAGTAGGAAGCCAAACGGAAACAAAAAAGAAATTCCCACGGTCACTTTAAAAATGAAATTTATTTGCTTTGAACTAATGGTGTGCCTTTTTCTTGTCAATGTCACATGTAGGCTCATAATGAGACAATGCAATAAGCCCAATACTGCCATCATGTGGACATTTAAAAGTACTGCAGCCCACATTTCAGCTACAGTTTTCTCCTCTGTTGTTGAATACATTCTTTAAATTACCATAAAATATATTGCCATCCTGTGTTATCGTTCATGTGGCAGATGGACATCCCTCTGTAAGTATCTTGTCTAAGACACAAAGTAACTGAATTCTTCTTCCAACTAATCTGGTAACTAATCTCAAATATAGAACATAAACCACAGCGCAGTGTGGAGCTGTGCTGAGGTGTTTCAGTCATCACTCTCACAAACAGATATTAAATCCCAACTGTTGGCAGCTCGGTGCAGTCACAGCTGAGGCAGATGGCAGTTTAATCGTGACTGACGCAGACGCAAAATGCACCTCTCAGGTGACCTCAAACATTAGCCAGACTCTGGTTACACACCAGCTGACAGGTAGAGTGTGTAGGAGATAGTTATTTGGCAAATGGGACTTGATCCCCCTGAAGGCTGACAGAGTTTGTACACAGTAGTTTCACAAATTCTCAGATCATTCCCTCACAGCAACACTGCAATGCTGTAAAGTATTCACAGCGAGAAGAAGCTACTAAAAAGTAAAAGTAATGATATCAAACAACGGCACCTTTTTAAGTCTGTAATACATTCATGTATAAATAGCATTCAAATGGTTTAGCTTGTTCAGGCCATATTAATCAACGATATTGTACTTGTTTGCATGTAAGTCTCTTTTTGAATTTAAAACCTCATTCTACAACTAACTGATCATTGGTACGCCATTTCATACAAATTACAAGCACCTAATCAAAACTGCAGTGCTGGAGTGAGCTGTAAATTAGGCCTCAAGACATTTAAATAAATTCAGTGTAAGAACTCATGGTGACACGTGTGCCACAAACACTTTAAATGTCCATGAATCTTCCATATTAAGTCCCTAAGTGACATCTACAAAACATCCTGGTGTGGTGGTCATATGACAGTCATGTGACTGTGACAGGAAAGTGTCCCCTCCAAAATGTGGGTGTGACTGAAATGACAGAAATGAAGGAAATGGCTAAATTCAAAAAGCTTGCTTTTTGTTACTAACGTAAGTTTAAACCCTTTTAACAATTCTAATTCTTTAATAGTATGTATTGTATTGCATTTAATCTGTTCTGACCATATTTCCTGAACAAAATAAAATAAAACAAGTTATGAAAATGTTGCTGTGACGTATACGTCACATCGGGCTTTTAACGTAAAGTCGTCATGGAAAATCTGATGTGACGTCTGTGTCACAATAACAAAAAAGGTAATAAGCCCCTCAATTAATTTTACTGTTTCAATTATTTAGAATTAATATATGCCCTGTTGTTCAATTTAAAGTATATTTGAAGAAATATAAAAAAAATTAATGTCAAATTATTAAGGTATTAATAGGGTATTTATTTACCAAAAACACAAAACAAATAATTTACATTTAAAAAGAGAAAACATCAGAAATGTGTTCTATGAGTTCCACTTGGTTTGTGGTATATCCCCCATAATGTTCCTTCAAGAAAAAATGGGTCTGGGTTCTTATGGGTTAGGTTTGCTATCACCAAGTTGTGACTTAAAGTTCAGTGTGTAAGATTCAGTGTGGGCTGGGCGATATGGCTTAAAAATAAAATCTCAGATTTTTTCACACCAAACCCGATTTACGATTTGAATCAATTTATTTGTAGACTGCGGTCCTGTATATCTCCCACTCGGCTGCATGCCTCTGTTTGAGGTGCTGGAGTAAATTGGTCGTACTGCTACCTTTTGGTTGCAACAGCTTTCAAACAAACTTTGCAGTGGGTCGTGTTCACTGTCGGACGCCACAAAACCAAACCAGTTCCGAACAACCGACGACACTGTGCCTTTTTTGGGGACGAGCTCATCCTGGTTTGCTGCCATGTTGTGTGTATCTGTGGAGAGGTGGGGGGAGGGGTCAGCGCACTCTGACCTACGGGAGCCCAAAGGGAGCGCCGGTGTTGTGGAAGTTCAAGAGAAAACCGATTTTAACTAAAAATAAATCGTGTTTAACTACAAATTCGAATTAATCGATAAAATCGATTTATCGCCTAGCCCTAATTCAGTGGCATCTGTTCCTAATTCAGTGGCATCTGTTGGTGAAGCCTGTTTCAATCCATCCATCCAAAAATACATCATATCTGAATTTCAGTTCCAATCCAATCCTGTTTATAATTTTGGCGGTTGTATAACTCTTTCTGTACTTTTGGAAAACAGGTTTGGATGCCAGATTGAACAGATGCAGGTCAGGTGGTGGAGTGTCAGCCATTAAACGTAGGACTGATCAATCTGTGGCTCCTCCTGTCCACATGTCAAGGATGTCCTTGAGCTAGATACTGAACCCCAAACTGCTCCCAACATGTTTGTATATCTTTATTGTAACACACTTAAAACAAATCATCTTTCAAATGAACATACTGCAAACACTGTGGCTTCACTTCACTGTTAAGGTAGTAATTCTTCATGGGTTGATCCTTACGGAGCCCAGGCTCCTATCATTTAAGGCTGTGGTTAGCGTTGGTCTGCTAGTCCAGGTAGGAGGGAGGCATTACCTGACAGGCTCAGCTCAGGGAACAAATGTCCCAACGTATTTTTACTGCCCAGGGAGTTTAAAAGTATAAGTTTAACTAACATGATAATAAAGACGACCAATCATACATTTCATTTCAACACATCATTGTCATTGTAGTATTCTTCAAAAAATTTTATTGAACAAAAGTTTTTAAATTCTCATCACGTTGTCGGTGATACAGTACCATAGTTTGATCTTAACGATTCATATATGCACCTCATCTTATTTTGAATATATACATACAGTGGAGACAAGAATTAAATAACAATGCTCAATAACATTCAGATATATCATATAAAAGCTGAGGACCCCATGATCAACAACACTTCCATTGGTAAACAAATGCACAGAGCAAAAGAAGATGAACAAGGAAAATGTTTGGTAGGACTAGTATCTTTTTCATTATAAATCAGGTGACGGTATATTTGGTTTCTTGCCAGTAAAAGAAGACTGTTATTATAAATTGACCGTTCGTTAAGCCCCTTTGGTTACTGTTGTGATGTCTGTCAATGGAAACTTTACCACTCACAATGTGCAGTCATTATTTAATCAGTGTGTCTGAGTTCAGACAGAGGCAGAGAAAAGCCGGCTTCTCCTTTCTATCTGTCTATTTTGCTATCTTAAATGACCACTGATTTTATTAGCTGACTATCTAACTAATTAATAATGTAATTAATTAATTAATTAATAAATAATCAGCTACTACTGTAGGTAGTAATCTAGTTAGAAAGGTATGCTAACAATTACATCAGAGCAAATAAACACGCTGTTTAATCCATTCCTTATTCTTTCACTCAAGCTTTTGGTTTTAGAAAGACAGACTGACAGACTTGCTGTGCCTAGTTACAGTTGCTAAGTTACAATTGGACAATCGTTGTTCAGGGGAGGGGTTTACCCAACGGTCAATAGCTGTTCCCTTGTGAGTCTATTGTTGTTCTGATTTCACGAATTAGTAACAAGTATTTCCTAAACACATGTTAACCTATGAATAACAATTTGTGATTTATACATGAAGAACTTAGGGCCACCCCTTCTTTAATTTATATTTGTTTTTGTGTACAATGACATTTTTCCTGCAAAATTCTCTTCTCTGTAATCACAAGATGTGCTAAAATACACTCGTTTTAAGACTGCAATCTTTCGCCGGACCTGGAGCAGATCAAGTGTCGTTACTCAGAAAGTGTTACCAAAAAGGTTTTTATTATTCTTCAGTCAGTATCCTCATGTATCTACAGACACATACTGGAGAACAGAACAGGAACAGGTTCAATGTGACACAATATAAAGCATGAGCATAGAGCTACGAATGAATGCCAAGTGTGGTGAGTGCAGTGCAGACCTGGAGCCAGTAGTATGGGTACAGGGTGGCACATTTGGTTACATTGATAAACATTCAAACTCTACAGGAAATCAGAGGTCTCCCCTATTGCATTAATGCTCCACCCACTGCCCCTTAGAAATATTACAAGAAGTATCGTATCCAGATTTTAAATAATATCGGTGCTAATGGCTGGGTCTGTGGAGACAGAAACAAGGAGGAATTTGAAAAAGTGACAGAAGACACAAGTTCAAATGGGGAGAGAAATCATGTAGAGGAATGATGAAAATAAGGAGAAAAAGGCAAGAGAGTGATTCTGGTCACTTTGTGAAGTCGTTGTATGAAAGAGCAATGATTCAAACCTCCCGAGAAGAATTTAAATTAGCTTTAAAAAAAACAAAAAGTTAACTCAGGAACAACTTTTAAAAATAAATGAACAAAATAAAACAATGGCCAGCAATTTGACAGGACAACACCAGCGTAAGGTCCCTCAGAGGTCCGAGTCCTTTCTGAACTGTTAAGCGTCCTCCTGTGTGGATTAAGAGCAATGGTGTAACCTACAATGTGCGTGGTAGTAAATGGAATTATGTATGACATCAGAAGGAGAACTCAACCCCCAACAAGGCCTCAGGCGTTCTGTTAACATTGCAATCTTAGCACATCCAAGAGACAGAGGCTTTTTATGCACTGTGCTGTACATGAAGGATGCAGCTGGGTATTTCCTGACACAGTGCTCGCCGTCTTGGGGTTAACTGCTTGTTTGTAGAGCTAGAAAGAGTTTCACCTGATCGCCACAGGAGGGCGTCAGACTTGAAAACTGAGGATCTGGATGTACAGACACCACAGCGAGGGGGTCCAGAGCTAAGGCTTGAGTTACGGAGTGGCATTAGTATGTATAGTGTGTATGAAGAGTGAATGTGTGTGTGTGTGTGTGTGTGTGTGTGTGTGTGTGTGTGTGTGTGTGTGTGTGTGTGTGTGTGTGTGTGTGTGTGAGTGTGTGTGTGTGTGAGTGTGAGAGAGAGAGAGAGAGAGAGATCCAGTGTAGGTGTGAGGATGTGTGAATCACAGCAGCGCTTTGACCAGGTACAGCTTCTCTCCATGTTCGCTGGTGAAGATGGGGGCTTTCTTGTAGTGCTCCACTAGTTCATCCATGGAGTTGAACCTGCGCTGGCCGATACAGAACACTCCGTCTGACTGCTGCACCTTAAAGTGCTTATTCTTACCGGCCGCCTTCAGAGACACAGAGAAATCATTGGGCTGAAAATAAAGAGGGGAGACAATTGTTGATATGGTGAGAAATAGGACAAGAGTGAGAGACAAGCAGCACTCCAGCAGATGGCAGTGTATTCTCACATTGTAAGATCTGGGCCCACATTGATCAGACTGCTACATGTTTATTTCATTTATTTCACATTTTATATTAAGGTTGATTTTTTTATATCAAGGTTACACACAAATAAATAAATAAATAAATAATTTGACGAACAGAAATGATCAATAGGGCAGATGTAGGTTTAATTCTTGTGTCTTCCTGCTCTGAACATATACGCTAATTATTATGTAATCAGTTAAAAACTGCTCTTAACGGTCCCTCTGACACGTCAGTGTTAGTAGGAATGAGTCACTTGATAAATGTGTAATATTCTTCACTTTTAGGAAACATTTTTACTCCTTTAAGTTGGCTCTTAAATACAGGCCTGTAACGTGCAGGAACTACTTCACATTTCTTATTTTGCAACTATATTTCAAAACTCTGGTCTTCCTTCTACCAAAATGTATTATATCTCCTTTTCTTCCTAATTTGAGTGTGTCCCAGCCTTCATAACGCCGCCATGACGTCAGCCCACAGACTTACCGATGACTCGCTGTCTCGTACGAGGAAGTCGCCCTCCTCTCCCCTCTCGTTGAGTATACACTCGGCCTGGTGTCTGGTGACGTTGCCATAGTACCAGTCCCTCCCGGCGAACTTCCCCAAGCGTGCCGGTGCCACAAAGCGGTTCTGCGGCGAGCTTGATGTAGAGGAGGGAAGATCTGGCCGCTCGTCCAGCACCGTCACATAGTTTTTAGGTACCAGGCCCACCATGCCACGCGAGTTCTTACACCTCCACCACTCCGGGTCGTTCTCAGGCTTCTCCACCACCTCCATGACCTCTCCCTTCTCAAAGTTCAGCTCTTCCTCGGTCACTGAGCTGAAGGGGTACAGTGTCTGAACCAAGTGGAGCACTTCGACAGGGCCGCCTGCACGCCCGTTGGCCAGCAAAGTTCCTTGGGAGCCTCCGTGGTAGGTTTGTGAGGAATCTCCCTCCCCTCTGTCACCCGCGCCTCCGAGCTCCTCCTGGACGTAATTGGAAGGAAACCAGCCCACACGGCCCGCCTGACTGCCACGCCACCAGCCGTCACTGCACTTCTCCATCACGATGACCCTGGAGCCCTTGACCAGGGTCAGCTCGTCATCTCTCTCGGGTGTGTAGGCAAACTTGACCACAGCAGGGATGTTGAGGTCATAGATTCTTTCAGCGGCGCCTCCTCCTCCTCCGCCCCCGCTGCCGTTAGAGGGATACTCTGTGTCTGAGCTTGGCGTTGGGGAAGCATCACGCGCGCTTGTCTTCCTCTTAGTTTTTCCCAAACCTGCAAAATGAACAAAAACAGAAGAGAATGGTGACACAGGAAGAAAACCAGATTTATTATTCTCATATTCCTGCATTAATCAATGTTTGGCCACAACCATAAACACAGCAACGATATTTTATCACCTTATAACACTGAAATGGCAAGCGTATTAGCAAACATACTTATTTACATAGACCAACATTAGCATTCATTTGGAATCATGTTTGAGTCCAGTTAATGAATGTAAAGGCAATATTCACTCTTTTTAGGCTAGTTTGGGTCTTCTAAATGCTCCACTATGTTTACCAGCTAGATTCTGCCTGAGTCACTACAAGCAACCCCTTTCACAAGTAGTCATTTGATCCATTGTTACTATAAAAATATTGATTATAGCAGCTTAATAGTTGTCAAGATTGAAAGCAGGTTTTAGAAAGCAGAGAAAGATGCAAGCTCCATGGGGAGAGGAGGCAGTTTAGGTCAGCAGGAAACTAATTGAGGCTGCAAGCAGCACTCACGGGCCCTCAGAAGCACAAACACTACTTTAGAAAATAGAGGATACAGGATATCCTATACGAAACCTCAGTGGTGAAGGACAGATCGATATTTCTGATAATAGAATTAACACACATCCACTTTCACTGCCCACCCACGTCCCTCTGATTATACCCAATGAAGTGAAAGCTCATTATCTACTTGGTATTCCGTCGACACTATCTACACGTCTTATACACGTCTTATACACGTCTATACTCATCAAAAGGCTGAAAATAGGTGGTGTAGACAGGGAATGGAAAGTGGAGCAGGCACCATGGGCTTGATTATGACAGGCACATCCAGGAACAAAGTCAGCTACTTTCTTACCTGTCTCTGACTTTTCCCATTCATGTACTTTCAAAGACGTCTTTAAACATGTGTTTGCACACTTAGTTTTCTAAAGTCTCTCAGCTGAACGTAACCGAGGAGGTCTCCTCTTCAAATTCATCTTGAAATAATAATGATACACTATGCGCCTGACAACATTTAAACTTCTCACTTGACAGTTGTGGCTGATGTCAGCATATGCTCATGTGTGCTACTAATAACTGAAGAGAGTTTCTTGACAGCTAATCACCCATTTTTTTTTTACCGCAGAGCCTGCCGAAATGCCACAGAAATGTCATTGCTGAGTAGAACATTTGCGTTGTTTGGAAAATTGCTGGGTTCACAGAGAGTAGCATGAAACTTGTTGGCAGCAGGAAGAGGAAGAAGAGAAGGAGGAGAGTTGTTAAAAAAAAGACGAGGGGTCCCTTGGCAGCTGTTTCTCACACACACAGTAGACCAAGCACATCAGAGGCCACAGCTGACAAAAACGCAAAGCAGAAGGATGAGACAGGAATAATAAGCAGATCATGTTTATGGATAGCAGTGTGCATCCTACATATCTGAAAATTGTGTGTGTGTGTGTCTGTGTGTGTGAGAGAGAGAGGATTCTGTCCTGACTGTAGGGCAAAGACAAAGGTTGACTCTTGGACCTACTTCAGATGAGCCCTTAGGAAAAATGAAATAGACTGTTGCTGCCATGGGGCACAAGAGAGACACACAAGAAGGCAGTGAACACACACTCCCTAAGCGAAAACACTTCCGCACACACAGACACACAGACACACACACAGACACACACAGACACACACAGACACACACAGACACACACACACACACACACACACACACACACACACACACACACACCTTTCTTCTTCACTCATTTCCACTTCAAGGCACTGGCCTGCTGGTTAGAGCAGCAGCAAGCGATATTCCCTCCTCCCACATATTCACGGCAAACCTTCACCTACCTCTTCATCTTGTGGAGGGAGACTAGATTTTCCAAGCCCAGAGGACTTCAACTCAGAGGAAAGTGAGTTGATGAAAGCCAAGATGACAGCATGTTGCAGCATATTGCTTCACTCTATAGCTTACAGTGGAGGGCAGTGTGGAAGTTACTGTAAGTCCACACAGTACAGCGCCACCCACCCGACACGTTTGAGTGTATACAGTAATGAAAAAGCACAACCTGGCCCCTAAATGAAGCATTAGCGCTGTGTCAGCGAGTGCTATGATTTTAAAGAGTCCTTTAAGTGGATCACAGATGAGCTATGTGGCCCTTTAAATAACCCCAGCAGTTGTTAATATTCCACAAGTGCTGCAGGGTCCTACTACACTACTGTGTGTAAAACCAGTAAAACCTGCTACAAGAGTTGAGGAGACAATTGAAAGTAAATGCAAATAAAAACGGTCACAGCAGCCTGTATACTACACACATGCAGCATTTAGAGGCACAAATTATGTGCAAGAATTTGAAGTTTTGAGGTTTAAATTACTTTTAAGCCTCCCCATGTGCTGCTATAGATTTGTCTACAGCGGCCACTACAGAGTCGGAGAGCAACGGAAACTCCCACACAGCCAAGGTTGTAACAACCCTGAGTACGTACACATTCAGTGTGGTGGACAGTTCTCACATGGGCCGTCATACAGACCATGCTGAGCGGTTGCTAGCGGTTCTGCAAGGCCGTCCTTTTTGTCACAGTTGTGTTTTGAGCTAAATGCTAACTTTACTATGCCAACATGCTCACACTGATAATGCTAACATGCTGAGCACTTAAAATATTTACGATAAGTCATATAAGTATGTCTACTACTGTACACTTATTGTGCTTTACACAGCTGCACATTTCGCAGCTCGTTTAAGCAGAAAATGGGGCTGTTTCACTCAATAATTACAATGATTATGCTCTTTAGAAAGTACTGTGTAAAATGGGCAGTAGGTATATATAGTACTTTTTGACCTGAGGACAGGACAAAGTGCTTTTTAACACCTCACATTCACCCACGCACGCACTGATGGCAGCAGTGCTGCCACTCAGGTGGACAGGAAGTCTAACTTGCCAGTTCACTGTACTGGTGAGCACTGACCCAGTTTCAGCAGTGAGTAGTATCTTCGCTGAATTCTTTCACCCATTACTGTTTTTATTTCCTGTGAGAGGAAACTGGGGCACAAAGCAGCATGCAGTCATTTACAATTCAATCCTGCCTGGATGGATGTCGATGATACAACCGCATTAAAGCACAGTAAATTAGGAGGGAAAGCTGGAGATAACAGCGATCACAGACTATCTGCAAGGTCCATAATCACGATGTAGACTTACCGAAAAAAAGAGCCGAAAAAGAGAGAAAAACAGCCAGAGACTATAGACGAGATGAAGTAATCATACTCTCAGCCAATCAGATTCTCTATTCAAGTGTGTGAGCAAGTCCCATTAGCCCCTGACCTCACCTATTGCTCATCACCTCATCATGAAAATGTTCTCGCCTATTGGATTTGCTCAGGCTTTTAACACTAAAGAGCTGCTGGGCTGGATGGAAACTACTTAGACTGAAATGGAACTAGGCCATAATGTTGTAGTTGAAATGTAACAGTCGGGGACAGAGAGGTAATCCATCATTCCAGCACAACCATTAGGCTGCTGATTTCTCCACCAATCAATCCACTGATCATAGAAAAGCAGAGACCTACAGTGACAGAGAAACGGGCTGATGTCAACAGTATTGAAGAGGGGTGGAGGGGTTGGGGGGGATACATGTTGTCTCTGAACACAATGAACCCTGGTGTGGGTGACAGTGGCAGGCTGTGCCATGCTGGCCCACATAAAGCCGCAGAGTATCCCAGAGGGCTGGTATCCACAGAGCCGAGAGGACTCAGCACGTTAGACCAGACCTCCCTTCATCTCTTTGACCCCACACCTCCCCATTCTCTAAATATGGCTGCCTTTCAGGGCCAAACTGTTACTATATCTATTCCAATTGCACTTCTTGATCATCCTGTCTTGCTGGAATTTCTACCACATTTCTATTTTCTCTCCGTCTCGCTCTCTCATCCTGACAAAAAGTGCTAACTAATGCAAAATCTGTCAAAACAGATGAATTTCTGTGCCGTGCTACCATCCTCTGCTTTTCCTGCGACAAGAAAGTAGAGCAAGCTGATCATTTTTAGCTTAATTCTTTCATTCTTGACTTGAACTATATACCAACACATCCCAGTTTAGCTCTCATCTATAACTGATGCCATCTAATTCTGTCAAGGCTGCTTGCATCTGTGGCTTCTATACTGTATGGGTAATTAGAGGCTTGAGTAGCCGCCCCAATCATTTGGTGCCCCTATCTCCAAATTCAAAATCATAAAAATAAATTGGATAGTATGCTGTTGGGAAGCCTGATAGTAAAAGCTGATTACGAGATAATTTGTCTCAATATCAGTCATAATAAATTAAATTTCAATTTCACAATGCCTGAGTGACATAAACAGAGATGTTCTGAAGACGCCGCTGAAGGCTCAGAGGCAACAGAGATACCTGGGAAACTGGGAAAAGGTTAAAGCCGCTGCTCACGGACACATGGGGGGAGCTATGTGCGTCACACACAGTAGGCACTGCAAGCTCTGGTTTTGAGCACAACTTAATGCCATCCTATAATGCTTAAATGTGTGTAAATCGTAACATCACTCCTCGAGTAAAGAAACATACGTATTAATAAACAGATATTAGGAATACCGTTCAAAACAAAGAACAACCAACTTATTCTTTTTTTCAGCTAATCATTGATTGTATGGTCTGTGGAGATTCAGCAAATAATGAAAAATGCTCATCACAGTCTCCCAGAGCCTGAGGTGATAACACAAAAGGGATTCAATTCACAACAATACAAAAACAGACAAAGGCAGAAAATCTCATATATTATATATATATATATATTTGAGAAACTGGGACCAGAGAATGTTTGGTTAAAAGCATGGCCAATCAAAGAGTGAGGGTACATGTTCAGATCACTCGTGGATTGAAAAAAAACAAGTATGTATTAATAAAATGATTATACGTTCAAAACAAAGAACAATAAATGGATCAGAAAAAAGACTTTCAATCTTTTAGTACTTTTTCACTGGTTTTCAATTACATTTTTATTATTATCAATACCTGATGTGATGGACACAGTTTGGTCAATACTCAAAAGTATTTGAGATGCCCCGCCGTAGGGTATAAAATCAACTGTCTTTATGTGAGAAGTCATGTATTTAAATGTGCATCCAATGTGTATCTGTGTTCTCTGAAGTTACATGTTAATCCTGTTTTACTGGTCGACTTTGACGGGGAAAAGGACACAAAGAGAAGTTTGTTACAAAATGAAGGACAGACCTTTATTAATGACTCCAGGAGCATATGAAAGCCGTTTAATTTTCTTAGATCATATTTATTTTTATAGCTGCCTATAAAAGAACTAAAAGCCTCTTTTGTTTTAAGAGCATCTTATTAACAGCCAGTTTTTTTGTCTTAAAGTAGAAATAACTTTTTCTCTCTCTGTATCGATATATCATACTGTATGCACCGACAGTTCCTCTCTAAGTTGGCAGCTATGGCTACATACACAGTCTAATGTATTCAAGTCATGACTAGAGACTGAGAGACAGTGTGCTGACAGCTGAGAGCAACGGCCAACTCAACGGGATCCCTGGAGTGCACAGTGACAGCTCCCGGCTAGAACAGAGACACAGCGAGGGCTTCGTTTTACTTCTGAGAAGATTCAGGCTAACACACATGCGTGCACACACACTGACCACTGTTCACGATCACATCTCCTCTACCGGGGAGAGAGAGAGTGTTGGAAAGGAAGTGCAGAGATTTTCTACATTTACTGAAGATCATCTACTGACAGGGACAACTTGTACACACGGCCGACCTTTTAATTTTAAACAGAGTGAAATTAAACTCTTCTTACCCAGTGTGTCTTTGATGTTCTTCACCAGCGAGCCTTTCTTCAGGCTGTTCTTCCGCTCAACGTAGTTCGATGGCACGTAGCCGGTTTGGTTTGAGGCGTTGCGGACGCGCCACCAGGTCTTTGAGTCGTCCAGGAGGAAGAGACGCTCGTTTTTACGGATGTCAAGTTCTTGGTCCTGCTGGGCCGTGTAGTCCCACTTGGCTACAACAATCACCTCCTCTGTCATCTTTCATGGAGTCCTCCTATGGAGGAGAGGAGGATGGGGGTGAGCCAAGGAGTAACACACTTCACAAACTGCCACATCGAGGTATACAGCAGTTTCAGAGAGATTATTAGCACAGCAACAATTTGTCACAGGATAAACAAAAACAAGTGACAAACACTGCCACACCTTCAAATGGCCACTAGGGGTCATTTAGGTTGAACATGAGTACTTGAATAAATGAATGATTCATTCATTATTAAGAAGTGTGTGAATGAGGGACTGGCTAGATCCATTAGGGAATTTAAATTAAAGAGGCAAATAATACAAATTTATGAGTATAACTAATAACTGAGAATAAATTGGGCCAAATTCTCAACAATGTTCTGCATCAATTTTGAAACCAATTGCATAATATACCTATTCCTATTCATTTGTCTGTAAATGTATTACATTAATGCGTGTGTGTCTTTGTGTGCGCGCTCGTGTGGGTGTGTGAGTCAGAGGCTCAGTTTTTTCTGTGACAAGTGACAAGTCATTACAAAATAATCCATATCCATCCATGCACACAATTTTTAAACCGCTCATCCCAGCTCACATTAGGCATTAGACAGGATACACAGAAGACAGGTTGCCAGTCTATCACAAGGCTATGGTTTACTTGGTTATGTAATCATAACCGAGCTAAATATGAGTTCATGGTAATATTCAGAGCCTCAACTGGCACTAAAACTGATAATTCCTTGGATGAAGAAAATGGCAAAATCTCAAAAGTTCTGACCGTGTGATCACCGCTACACACACACACACACACACACACACACACACACACACACACACACACACACACACACACACACACACACACACACACACACACACACAATCTGAACCCCACCGCTGAAAACATGATGAGGCACACAGGTTTCAAGACAACAGGCGCTCAAAAAAAGCACCTCTGAAAAGGCTTCTTTGGTAAAGAACAGCAGAAACACACAAAATCAATTTATGTGTTCATCCTGCATGCTCTCACCCACACACACACGCACAAAGCCTTTCCTATTAGTTTTTGGAGACAGACAGTGAGCGATTACATGCTCTATTTCACCAGGCCATAGGTGAGGTGATTTGACATGGGTTTTCTGGACCACCTGAACTGCTAAGGACTTACATGCATCTGTTCAGAGACAGACGTACAGAAAAAAGACTAAATAATGAGGAGAATACATGAAGGGATCAGGAAAGTTTGACGTGATTTCATGTATTTCTGTTCTAACTTATAACTTTTTTTCCTGTGATAAAAGGAGTCTGATGGTATGAGAACCATGCAGGCAATCCGGTTTATATTTAGCTTGTCGCCGAGTTAACATTCTGTGGCTGGAAACAAGATCACTGGAATAAATAAAAATAAATAAAAATGGTTCAGATAAAAAGAAGCTCTTTGAAGATAACAGTGAGTTCAAAAGATACAGAATGAATAGTCATGTTGTAAAGCTTTTGTGTCAGCAATTGTTCAGCCTGAATAATTAAATAAAACTGTCTATTTCATATCTAACGTTATGTGAGGTTATCAGTAGCGGTTGTAGGACACCGATTTATGGGCAGCAACACACTTTTCACATAGCCAAAAACTGGCAGTTAAATATCCTCTACTGCACAATTACACATAATAGATACTTCTTAAAGAGCTGTTTGATAATTGTTAAGTCAATTATAAATAGCACATACTGTGTTTCTGAATGAGAATCGCTGCTGAGTCACAATACTGTTAAATGGAAAAAATAAACAGTACTGATAAATTTGTGCGAGAGAAAGCATGGGGGTGAGTCCATTCATATTAATACAGAGTTTTCCACTGAAAATAAAGGAAAGAAAACACACAGTGACACACATTTAAGATGCGGGGGGGATTGTCTATTCCCTTACTCATATTGTCATTTACATTTTATTCTTTAATGAGAGGGCAGCGCACAGATAAAGCAGAACCACAAAAGAGAATTATGACTCACGAGGAGTGTAGCTGCACAAATTAGACCATATAAAAAGATTCCATTACTGGTGGAAAGATTGATATCTACATTTTATAAAATGCAAATGGGAGCACTCTAAAGAGCTGGCTGTTTTTTTTTTTTCAACCAGAGATATTCAATTCCACTTCAATTAGGCCACAACCACAGAGACAGTGCAGCCATTACTGAACACATTCTTACAGTTAATAGTCGCAGCCAAAAGCCGGCTTGTGTCTCACTGCGTGAGTGTGTCTAATAGCTGCTTTCTTTCTCTACAACAAACAATAAAAAGTGCAACAGTTCGTAGAGTGGAACGCTGCCTCTGCTTGCCGTCACTAAAGCTGTCGAACTGGATTTTTCACAGGCTGGGACAGGGACAGCAGAGGAGGAGAGAGGAGGCAGAGGGGTGAGCCACTTGGAGAGTGTATGTCAAGTTCACCATAAGTTAAGTTACTCAACTTTCTAGGACGTGACAACTTTATGGCAGCAACAAAGGCAGCAGAGGGAAGATAGTGGAAAGGTCAATTCGGCGTACAGGACGAGACAAAACTGCAGCAGCTGTGACTCTTTGGAGAGCGCAGGAAATAGAAGTGGAGGGGAAGATTTATGACAAGATGAGGGACGGTGACGTCAACTCCTTCAGGAGACAGGAGGTATGTGAACGTGCTGTGGCCTCTATTCGCCTCAGGCTTTAGCTGCTGGATTAGACCAGGCTACTACTTTCCTTTCCTTTTATTACATTCATTCCTCCTGGTGCGGATTGATGGACGAGCAAACCTGCTAATATCTGTTGGTATTACTATCCCCGCATTTGAGATATTGAAATTCAGCACATCAGATTCAGTGTTCAATCATATTAATTCCTGGCTTTGTTGAGGATTCTATACTTTTACATTTTCTTCCGCCGCACAGCAAACATTCAAAAGATTCTTGCTATCATGCAGACCTGAACCAGGGCCTCCAGCACAACGTCACTTTTACATCTGTAGATCAGTTCACTTCGTCTGCACCAAGTTAAGAAAAAAAGACACATGAAAGTGTTTTAGATCTGGTCTGGGTTGTGCTCACACTGGCTTCTTACATGAAGTCATCTAACACATAACTCCTCTCTTGGACAGTTGTGTGATTTCATCCTACATCATCAGAACTACATACATACACCCTCATGGGAAAATTAGATTCTGATGACTGGCAGCAGGTCATAAATAATCAATATTATTAGTCCTGACTACAACTTGGCCTTATTTTATGAATAATGGCAACCAGGTCAGCCATTATCAATGAATATGTTGATTGTTAAGTATCAAGAAATTGTTGTAGAGAAATGCCAAACTAAGTCTCTCTCTCTCTCTCGCTCTCTCTCACAGAGGTTTTTAAAGAAGATCTAAGGGGTTTCCAGGTGATCAATACATCTGCTTTAATTCCTTTTCACCTTGGATTGATTGAGGAAAATGCTGCTGACACACATTCATGTTACCATGACTGCTAAAGGATTTGCATGATACACGTCACTTATAAGATAATTTTCCTTCTAAAATTTTTTTTTTAATTCTTATTATTTTATTTTTTATATTTTTCACTTTATTTGACAGTGGCATTAGAGAGAGACCGAGAGTGTGGTGCTGGAGAAAGGTCTGGCTGAAGCTGTTATCATTCCAGCACGAAAAAACGCTCTAGCTATTCTGTATTTCTTTAAACCAATCATAATTGTCTTGGGTGATGATAAGGCCAGGATGCAGCGACAGTGCCCTTGCAAAATAGTATTGGAAGACAGCAGAAGGGGAGGAGAATTTTTTATGAAATAGTTGGCCAATGGCTGGTTTATACCCACAGCCTACTTCCTGTGAGTCAGACTAAACCAAACCAAACAGGTTAGGTGTAAAAAGAACCCGATGACATGATCTCATAAGACAACAAACACTTTCACAATCGTTCTAGCTTAGTGTCATTTCTTTCCACTGGTGACTTCATGTAAATTGGCAGAATAACATATGATATGCGCCCATCCTAGCATGAGTACTAGTGATGCGCTACTTTTCCAACCTGCGGGTCCCGCATTTATTTAATAATTTGACCCGCTCCATCCCGCCCCGCACAACTGCATCTATTTTCACAACCTGCCCCACCCCGCCCCGCCGCTATTAAATACACGTTAAATATGTCATTAAATAAGGCTTTTATTTGGTCTTACAAATGTGCTTGAAAACAGCCTTTCGAGAGGCACTGGAAACTGGCAACAACAAATTCAAATCTTAATAAAAAATAAATAAATAAATAAATATATATATATATATAGGCCCTTTTGTGACGTCAGGTCGCAGGTGGATTTACCCAACAGTGTTGTTAAGAAGTAGGGTGTATTGGACATATTTAATCCTAATGACCCGCCCCACCTGCCCCGCCAATAAAGTTAACATTTCTTGACCCGACCCGACCCGACCCGACCCGCGGGTAACCTAAGACCCGCGGGTTAAGGGTCGGCCCGCGCATCACTAATGAGTACTCCTCTCCTCCCCTCTTCCATGATACCAATTTCTCTGTCTCCTGGACAACCTTGCTCATTAGGCAGAGTGATGGGAATGCCACTCCAAATCAAGACCGTCCTCCTCTATGGGCAATTATGTATGTCAGGGTGGCAGCCATGCCATTGCTCATTCTGATGCAAGCTTACGTTCCGTCGCTCTTGATGTACCAATGAAATCCACAAGGGAAGCTTAGACGGAAATCAATCTGATCTGTCTCATTTTAAACCGTTTGTGCTTCAGCCAATTGATGTTGAAAACTGGATCCACTGAACAGATTCTTATGACACATTTGTCATTCAATCAGAGCCGCTGAGTTTCCTTGATATGGTTCACAGACAGGTGGCTGAACAACAACAAAAAAAAAACGCTTTTCCTGTGAGAGACCATACAAATACACACAAAAGAAAACAAACAGGTTTGGAAGAGACCGGGTTTAAAAACAGAAAAGCCCGAGAGCCCATGCTCCTCGTGACCCCTCATTCCTCTGCTGAGAGAGTTAAAAGAGG